ACAACAACAACAACAACAACAACAACAACAAAATTTATTTATACCCCGCCCTCCCCAGCCAAGACCGGGCTCAGGGCGGCTAACAACCAATAATAAAAACAAGTTGATTAAAATACAACTTAAAAAACAAGATTAAAATACAACATTAAAACATTAAGATGCAGCCTCTTCACAGGAGGAGAAAGGAAAAAAGAAAGAGGGGGAGGGAATCAAATTCATTCCAAGCCAAAGGCCAGGTGGAACAACTCTGTCTTACAGGCCCTGCAGAAAGAAATCAGATCCTGCAGGGCCCTGGTCTCAGGAGGCAGAGCGTTCCACCAAGCCGGGGCCAGTGTTGAAAAGGCCCTGGCTCTGGTTGAAGCTAATCTAACTTCCTTAGGGCCCGGGACCACTAGGGTGTTGCTATTTATGGACCTTGAGGCTCTCCATGGGGCATACCAGGAGAGGCGGTCCCGTAGGTACGAGGGCTCCCATATGCCTGTTTGGGTTGAAGGTGGGTCCTGGGTCTGAGAAAGTCAAAGGCTACTGGTCTGGACTGACTGGAAGAAGCTCTCTAGCGTTTCAGGGAAATGCCAGGGATCAAAACAGGGACCATTTGTATGCAAAGCAGATGCCTTATCTCATGTTCTTTGTTAAAGAGTGTCAGGGTGAGCCGATCAGTGCTAACTATAATTATATTTATAATGGTGACAAAGCCTTGGTCATTCATAAAAGTAGTTATATGGCATCCGCTCACAACGCCTCAGAGCAACGTCATAAACCTTTTAAAACAGGACAAAACAATCACTAAAACGAATAGCTACTAGATAGGCCTGAGGGCACAAAAAGATTTTCAAAAGACAGCTGAAAATCCAAAGTGAGGGTATTTCTAAAGCTGCCCGAGGCAGAAACTGAGGCTCACTGACACAGGTTTTCAAATTTTGTTAGGCTACAAACCAGAAATGTGGAGCATGGGTAGCCCAGCGTAGCCTTTTTAACAGACAAGTCAATAAGTGAGTAGTCTGTTCTTTTCTCATTAAGGGAGGTGTCATAAAGTGTACAGTGACACCGATAAATGTGTTTTCCGTGTTAATCAGACAAACTGAGATTACCTCACAATAACAGGCCAAAGGGTTATTCTTATGTTACACGGAGTACAGTTACAAGCTGTCTCTGAACCTCTACCAACCTTTTCATCCAGGTGTGGTGCAGGTTAAAAAATATCTGGCTCTGCTGAAAGGGTGTTTGCAGGCACTGCCAACCTTGGCCTGCAAAGCTGCTTTCAGGTGCCACATGAAACAGCTCTTTGAAAGGAGCTTCCAAAACTTTTGCTCTGCAGCCAAAAACGTTTTCTTTCAAAAGGTGCCCTGATGTCACTGTGATGTCCAGTGAGGGGCCCATTGCCTTGCCCAGTGCCTGACAAGAAAAACTTGGACAAGTGTCAGATGTTATATAACCCTCCTCTTCAAAACACTTTGCAAACCAGAACAAATTGAGCAGCTATTCACAGTGGACTCATTTTCCAGTTGAAGAATGTGCAGAATCTGGATATACCTCTTCCAGAAATCCTAACGCAAATCCTAACACAAATTGCTCAGATTTGGTCACCATCCACACCATACATTTAATCCAGGTAACCAGAGCTTTGTTAAGGGTGCTGGGAACTGGAGCTCTGTGAGGGGCAAATGACAGTTCCCAGGATTCTTGGGGGTAAGACATGTGCTTTTAAAGTATGGTATGGATGCGACCTGAGGCAGTGGCTTCACTCTGCCTTATTGGCAGGGCTGGCCCTGTAAACTCATATTGCAGACCCCCGAAGCCACATGCCGAGAGAGTAGAAGAGAGGCATTTGCCATGCAGAGGAAGCGTCTGACAACATGATCTTTTTGCTTGCATGGCCAACCAGTTGGAGCAGAACAAAACAATTAGGGCAAAATGTTTTAAGCCACATTGGTAAAGGCACCCAGCACCCTCACCTCAACCATCTAAGCCCCATGGATTTGAGGGGATTAGGATGTTCAGCTCTGTGGAAATAGTCACTAAACCCTGAGCTGCTCTGAACTAAGCGTTCAGTGAATCCTGACTAAACTTGCCCAGCTGCCCTTTGGTCTAGAAAATTATAACCCTTCCTTACAGCAGAGAGCCCCAGGGCTTAAGAATGTGGCTTCAGCCCAAGAGGAAGAATACACCACTCAACAGCCGTCCCGTGAGCTGGCAAGGATAGCAGCTGCTCCCAGCAAGAATCCATCAATGGAAACAGCTCTGCAGATGGCCTTACCAAGGAAGAGGCCAGCTAAGGGCAAGTTGGAGAAGAGCAGCATTTTGGAGCGAGTCTTGCTTGGCATTGCTCTTGCTCAGGCTTCCTCAACCTCGGCCCTCCAGATGTTTTTGGCTTACAACTCCCATGATCCCTAGCTAGCAGGACCAGTGGTCAGGGATGCTGGGAACTGTAGTCTCAAAACATCTAGAGGGCCGAGGTTGAGGAAGCCTGCTCTTGCTCATTGAAATAAAGGATGGGCCACAGAGGTTCCTCAATGGAAAAATCATTTCAGAGGCTGGATCTGGACTCCCAAAGCTATGTCCCCAAGCTCTCATGCAAACTTGAGTTTCAAGAGGATGCAAACTTGAGTTTTAAGGAGGAATTGTAGGTCAGGTACAGAACGTGCTGTTGGTTGTCCTCTTTGAGGGTTGGTGTGTTCTCAGGACCATATTCTGCCCATCACACTTGTCTGAATGGCAAGGAGTTCTAGGCATGCAGGTTGTGTTTATTTTATCCAGGTTGGGTTTATTTTGTAAAGTCACTGGAAGCTTATTGGAGCTGCACCCAGTCATTCCCATGTGTGCCACCCTGAGTTCAATGGAGGAAGGATGGAAATAGAACTACAAACATAAGGTACTATGTAGAGTACACAGCCTGGCATTTCATATGCTGTTGAGGCTCCTTATGAATTGTTCATATAACAGAAAGTAAGACAACCGTGTTTCCCCCCAGTATTTGTTTAATGTGAAGAACATTAGTGTATTTTAATAGGAAAGGCTAACGTCAGGTTGATTAATGAATACGGCATGCCCTATATTCTAACTAGGGATGGGGTAGAAGCTCAGTTCCATTTGACTTTTAATGTGGACCTAAGTAATTAGCACTTACCTAAACAATATGTGAAACTAAATACAGCTAGCCTTCAAAATTTCCTTGAGTTTTGTGATGCAGTTTTCCAAACAAAAAATGGGTATGAAAAGCTGTATCAGGGGGAAGTGTGCATAGAAATGCACATATTAGTGAAAATAAGTTATGAAAATGCAGTACATTAGGGGAAATTGCTTGCAGAAATATGTATAATCAGGTAAAAATACAGAGAAAAGTGTGTGTGTTGGGAGAAATTTTCACGAGGACTTTAAAAAGAAATTGCAAACGGGTGCAGAAATGTGAACTGAATGTAAGACTGGGGGGGAAATGGGAAATTGAGAAAAACCCAAACTGGCAGATTCATGCACCTCTAATTATAACCCTTCCACTTTACAACACTGGCAGACACTACAGTGGTACCTTGGTTTGCAACCATTTTGGATTACAACCGTTTTGGATTATAACCATGTCAAACCTGGAAGTGCGTGTTCCTTTTTTTGGATTACAACTCATTTTGGGGGGATTACAAGCCCCCCCCCTTTTTGGGAGGCCCCATTGGTGAAAGCGCGCCTTGGGTTACAACCTGTTTTGGTTTACAACCGGATCTCCAGAATGGATTATGGTTGTAAACCAAGGTACCACTGTATTCCTGATCATAACGTTGAACTTTCTGCAGAAAGAAAAAAGAAAAAAGAACTGTAGCAAAGTTGTGCTCCCCCAAGTTCACTCCACTACATCACTGGCTGTTTGACTCCAGCATCTGGTCCTCAGAGCTAAACTGTTTCTGTAGTAGTTATTGACTAAGTTATCCACCATAAGTCTCCTTCTAAAGGTGAAAGCTATCAGCTAAACACAACAAAGGCAAACAAACACAAGCCATAACAAAGAAGTTAGGTGATGTTCAGACACCTAAGCTGGTCAAAGCTATGTAACCATTTCAGTTCTCACCTTAGGAACTGTAGTTGTACGAAGGGAATGGAAAATCCTGGTTGTTGGGGCTGATAGGAGTTGGAGTCCAACAACAACACAGATTCCCCATCCCTGTGAAGAGTTTTCCTAAATAAGTCATCTAACATCCTGACAAAATTACAATATCTAGGGTTCTTTGCAGAAAGCCTAGACCCTTAAATCTCTCTCTCTCTGTGTGTGTGTGTGTGTGTGTGATTTTATTAATATATATATATGATTTTCTGTTTTACAATTTTGAATACTCATTTAAACATTCTTAAAATATCAGTGACTTCCCTTCTTCTCTTTCCATGGTTCATTCTGCATATCATAAATCCCTGCATATTTTACATAAACGAAACCATTCAGTATTCCATTATTACATCCACCATAAAAGGTTATTTATGGATGCCACTGCTGTGGCCATGTTTTGTTAGCCCCCAAAATGGAAAACGAACGAGGTCCCAACTAAAGAAGAATGGCAACTGAAGCTGATGGAATTATATGCAGCTTGCAAACTTAACATATAGAATAACAGAACAAGAAGAACATACGTTTAGAGATTAGAAAATGTTTATTGAATATACGGGGGGAAATTATGTACACTTAAAAACGTTGGGAGCATTAAGATAAATTCGACCCTTAAACCAATTTCACACTGGTTTACCATTGCACTAATGCTCCATGAATAGGATGTCACATCACTTTCCATCTACACACAAACAAGTGAGTGCTAGAGCTATGTTTCCAGTCCATGAAGCAGTAACTTCTCAGGCATCAGAGGCATTAAAATTCTACGCAGGGATAAAAAGTGCAGCTGTCCTTATGGTGCTAAAAGTAAGAATCCAATGTAAACCACTGTCCAACAATGCACACTGGAAAGAAGATAGCTGGTTGGGGAGATGGGCATTCGCCCCCCAGAAGCCCAGCAGAGTCTGCTAAAGGGCTAAAAGTTCTCATAGTGATGGACAAAATAGGCTTGATCGCGCTTGTTGATCTTCTGACATGCTTTCTCCACATTCTTGGTCATGCCTGGAGGGCCACAGCTGAACACACCAATCTTCCTCACCTGGAAACAACAAACCAAAAGAACTTGGTCACCAGGCATTACCCAACACATTGGGCAGTAGCAGAAGAGAGGGGAGAAAGGAAACAGACACAGCCGAGGGACCAGCAGCTTTGGGCCCCTTCTTAAAATTTTCCACTCTAGCGGGTCATTATAAGAGCATTTTATGTATTTATTTCATGAAATTTATACACCACTTGATTGTCATAATAATAACAACAACAATATTCAAAAGACTTAAAGCTAAAACAAGAAAATCTGACAGCAATAGTTAAAAACATACAAAAAGTTGAAATAGTAAAATAGGTTAAAATTCACATCAACTTTCTAAGCGTCTTGGTAGGTTTGTCTAGCCAAGAATGTTTTCAGCAGGTGCCAAAGAGAACACAGGGTGGGCACCTGCTTGATCTCAATAGGCATTCTTTAAATAAATGAATGTCTCAAAATAAGTGAACAGCAAAAAGGAGAGCGCCAAGTCCTGCTTTCTTGGGTCAGGCTCTAAGCTCCAGGTGATGCCTAAGTGCATCCATGGCAGAGGCCTGCTCTAGAAGGAGAAAGAGAAGGAGAAGCAGAAGAAATTGCAGACACGAGCTGGATCATTTGAGGTCACACGTGGGGCACGCCAGTTTGAAATGCTCCCCCATGTTCTAAAACAAAAGAAATCATAGGAAGCCGCCTTATAAGAAGTCGGACTATTTCTCTACGTAGCCTGGCATTCTCTGCACATACTGCAGGCCAGCCACCAATGTGAATGTCTTTCCTTGTCATCTGTTGCCTGATCCTTTCAAGTTTTAACTGCAGATACCGAAGGATTGAACCTTGCTCCTTTTGCATATAAAACATGGGCTCTACCACTGAGCTACAGCTCTCCCAACATTTGAACAGCAGAGAGGACATTTTTAAACCCAGGGGCCCCTCTCCAGACAAGTGTTTTATTCCGGATGTATCCCGCAGCACATTCGTGATACAACAACAGTGCATCAGTGGGTGATTTATTCTGCTTTAGTTTCTCCTGCGATCCTTCCCCAACCATATCCCATTACTGCTGTCAAGAAAGGCCATAACAAAGGACACGCTCCAGAACATTTGTGGTATAAAAAGTTACCGAATCTTTGCAGGAAGTTACAGGATATGCACTGATTGGAAGTGAATCAGTGTGATGGCCCCAAAACTTCTGCAGGCGCAAAAAATGGAAATGGGATTGTGTGTGGTGGTCCCAATAGCATCATGAGCACAAATAATCACAAATGTGGAATGAAATGAAAGTCCAGAGGGATCCCTCCTTTTCTACTTCCATGACTTTTTTTTAGTTATTCTACTACCTCAAGTTTCTACCATCTCATTCTGAAGCATGTGTAGAGGAAGGCTTTCCTAAATGCAGATTTCTATAAATACCCACTCACTCGCTTGATGTGCATCCACTACAGCTGCAGAGTAAGGGCTGCAACTCCACACACACACACACACACACACACACACACACACACACCGCCTGGTTGTCCTGGCCCTGCTTCTGTGCTTTAAGAGCAAATCCCTTCCTCAATCAGGGATAGACACACATAAGGGAGGACCCACAATGTTTGCCATCTAGGCAGGCAGCTGATTTATAGATTTCACTTTTCAACCGACGATTGCTACTGTGTGACATACATTGTGCTGTAAAACCTCCATTGCATCAGCTGTTCTTTCTTTACACAACATACAAATGGAGCACTGCAATGAGGAAAGGAACTAACTCATAGCATACTTTTTATGTGATAAAGGTCAATCCGACCTGAGAGTGCTGTTCAAAAAAAATAAAAAAATCCTGGCACAAGTTCAATGGTCTCTCACCCGTCTAGTTATCTTTTCATTTATTTATTTATTAATTACGTAATTCCCTGAGTTAGTTTCAGGCATAGCGGATAGCGAGAAGAATAGCAGGTTTTAGCAGAAGCCGGAGTGTAGTGGAAGGGGGAAAATGCTGATTGTGACAAATGTAGGAAAGGGTGGAAATTGCTACCTGCTTATATCCATGTACATGAGGTCAGGTTAGGGGCAAAGAAAGTCGTGGCTGGATCAGCAACACAACTGAATTCCCTAGGGGGGCCTTGAAAGAATAAAACAAAGTTAACTTCAGGCAAACGTCAGAGCACAAGCTCACAGGCACCCGCTTTGGAGTCATGAGGTTAAAGGAAAGGGGTCCTAACACTAGGACAAAGGAAGGAAGACTGGCTGGAGAAGAAGGAAGAAGTCAAAGCATGGAAGGAAGTGATCTATACGCCAACAAGAAGGAACCAACAGGAGTAAAAATAGGTTCCCTTTCTGTCTATCGTCAGCCGTCCCTGGTACAGGTAACTGTCTAAAATGCATTGTTGCTTTTTGTCCCAACAGCAGGAGAGATAGGAATCTGACCCAGTGGCTGGATCAAATTCTCTCCCCTGAACCAGAGGGATGCTAAGTGATGAAACATCATAGGCAGCACTGCTAATTACTCTTTAGGAAGCTTGTTGTGGTAGCTCTCCTCATCCTTTCAGGAAGGGGCCATAGCTCTGTGGCTGCTGGCCTGCTTTGCTTGCAGAAAAGCCCCCGGTTCATTCCCTAGGATCCCAATTTAAAATGATCTCAGGGAGCAGATGATGGGAAAAACATCTCAGTGAGCAAACATCTGAGCTCGGAGGCGGCAGCTTCCTGTGTTCCATTTAGCAAGCACACTTGGCTAGCCTAAGATGCGCTCTGTCGCATGAAGCCTGTTAATATGCAAGTCACAAAACTGAATCCCACAACTGCCCACAGGAGCCCTCTGCCCATTGCCAGCACTGACCTCAGGGTGGACCTCTTGCAGTGAGCAGAAGAAAGGGACAAATGGCGGTCGACCAAAGTGGGTGACAGAGCGCAGGCCAGTGAACAAGCTCTGGTTGAGGACCTTCTGGAAGTGCCGCTCGCAGATGTACTAGAAAGAGAGACGGTGACGGTCAGAGTATGGCTTGTGTCGGGGGAAGGAACCCGCTGTTCACAGCTACCATTTATCACCACCTTGTCGTTCTAGATTCCCCAACGTAGAAGCAGGTCTTGTTAGAACAAGCAATGTTCTGGTCCAGGCATGTAGCCAGGAACATGATGTGGAGATCTACGGGTATACTAGTTTAATTTAATATACAGTGGTGCCTCGCAAGATGAAATTAATTCATTCCGCGAGTTTTGTCGTCTTGCGATTTTTTTCGTCTTGCGAAGCACGGTGTCGGGAAAGTTTTGGAAAAGCTTCAAAAATCACCAAAGTCTTTTAAAACCTCAAAAAAGGCTACCACACCGCGTTCTATGAGTTGCTCCTCGAAGTCAAGTCGCAACTGTATTAACGGTGTTAAGAAAAGGAAACAAACTTGCAAGACGTTTCCGTCTTGCGAAGCAAGCCCATAGGGAAAATCGTCTTGCGAAGCAGCTCAAAAAACAAAAAACCCTTTCGTCTAGCGAGTTTTTTGTCTTGCGAGGCATTCGTCTTGCGAGGTACCACTGTACAATACGATAATCTTTATTGTCATTGTCCCATACAGAATGAAATTGGGGGGGGGGGGATCTACATAAGACAATCAAAACCAACAAGCCTGCTATCCCAGCCTGGTTAGCACCCTAAAAACTGTGATACCCCATTTTTAAAATACAATACACTCCCATAGCGACTCCTTACACTGCATTAAAAACCAAAATCGCATTTGGATAGAAACTGTTTCTCAGGAGGCTAGTCCTGGTCTTTATAACCCTGTACCTTCTTCCAGAAGGCAGAACCTGAAAGAGATCATTTCCGGGGTGTGCACTATCCTGCACTATCTCTGCAGCTTTCTTATAGCACCTGGAAACATAGATTTGATCCAAGGTGGGAAGATTTGTGTCTAGAATATCTGAAGGACCACCAGCTTCGGCACAACTCTGCCTGCCTGTTAAGAGCTTTGGGGAGGCTCTGCTTCACAATCCCACCAATGTCTCACGTGGGCTTGGTGGAAATGCAGGACAGGGCCTTCTTGGTGGCTGCACCTAGGTTTGGAAACTCCCTCTTCCGGAAGGCTTCTTTAATCCCCTCCTTTCCCATTTTCAGAAAGATCATTAAAACCGTTTTGTTTAGACACACTTTCCATACTTCTTCATGCTCGGAGGCTGATGACACTGCTATTTTTAGTGTTAATTTTATGGGTTTTAAATTTATTTTCTTCTCACTATTTTATTATCCTTGTGAACTGCTTCAGGGAGGGAAACTATGTGGAAGTGAAAAGTGGTATATAAATTCATGCATAAACTAATGATATTTTTTTTTTAAAAAATGCATGTGGGTTGGTGGGACCAACCAACCAGAACAACTCAGGTAATATGTCTAAAGTTATTAAACATAAATAAAGTAATATTGAATTTTATACATAAAAGAAGGTCCTACTAATTAATAATACTTAACACTTGTAGAGAACATCACTTCCACATGTTCAAAGCACTTTGCACACAACTGCAAGCCTTACAACTGCCTTTTAAGGCAGGTATTATTATTATTCGGCTCCCTTTCTTGCAAATGCGGGGACTGAGGCTGAGATAGCATTCATGCCAAAGGAGAAATTCAAACCAGGGATTTCCTGAATTGTAGCCAGTCTTCATATACACTATGCTATACCAGCTCTAGTGTTTGTCAATCGTGCGCAGCACCATTTTTCTCGTCTGGAAGAAGAAACAGCAGGAGCGACTGGGAAGGTCACTGGTGTTGTGCTTTTGCTTTTATCTTCATATGTAAAAAACTTAGGGCTTATCCAGATTTAACCTTTTGCCTTGCTCCTTCCAGGCAGATATCCCCACTTTAACACTCGGTGTCCAAGCATTTTTTTCTATTTTGCCCCAAGCTTTCCCTGCGAAAACCTGCTCTTTAAAGCGGAATCAGAACCAACGTCAATTCAGGTTTTCTGCACATATGGCCTGGCTGCTCTGAGGTTTTGCATGTAGGGGCTCACCAGCATGGTGGTGCGCAGGTCAAACTTCTCCGCCAGCTGTGTGATGTAGATGTGCACGGAGACCAGATCGCACTGATCGTTCTCCTCTACCTCTCGGATGATGTCAGCCATCCACTCAAACTGCCGCTGGGTCCGCGTCACCCAAATGAAATAGATCTGGGAACAAGAGGAAAGTGAACAAGGCCGTTATCAGAAATCCCCTAAAATTACACCTGCACCTGCTATATGGGCTCCTCCTTCCAAGCTCTTGCATCAAAACCTCTCCGCTCACCTGGACCCCTCTCATCCTTTCAGCTCCATGGGCTGAATCTAGAGGCCTGTCATTGACCTCCTTTGGTCTTCTAAATTGCACCAGGAAACCACACTGGCCCATGTCAGAACTTCATGCTTTGACCTCCACGTCCATTATCATTTCACCATCACTTGCTGGGATCCTTTTGGGTCTTCTCATCCAAGCCCAGTGATTGTTTGTGCATACCAAGCTAAGCTTAGTAGAGTTGCAACTCCTGCAATTTTCAAGGTCTAATTCCAAGTGATTATATACCACAAGTTCTTCTCATGGGAATATTAAGCAGCCCCGTGTTAGGGGAAAGCATGCTGAAGCTTCTATGGCTGGGGTAGCAAATGTGGTGTCCTCCAGATGTTGCTGGTCTACAACTCCCATCATCTCTGACCATTGGTCATGCTGGTTGGAGCTACTGGGAAATGGGGTCCTACAATATCTGGTCGGCACCAGCTTGGGGGAGGTTGGTTTAAGACTTCCAAAGGAGAGACTGTAAGGTCAGGGAAAACTATGAAAGAAATATGATTGCTCATTTTCTGTTACTTATATAGTTCACAAAATCTCCATGGGAACAGGATGGTGGCATATGTTCTTAACACTGACTCAGTGGCTAGCAAGGACAAGAACCCAGCCATTTCTCCATTCCTTCAACCTCACCTTCTTGCACAAGATCCTGGACCCAACTGATGACTTGAAAACGAGATCTTTGAGGATGGAAGCAAAGGGCGTCACGCCGATGCCTCCTCCCACCAGCACAGACACTTCAAACTTGTTCCATTCCTGGTGCCCCTCTCCAAAAGGTCCATCCAGGTAGAGCTGGAGAGAGAGAGAGAGAGAGAGAGAGGGAGGGAGGGAGAGAGAGATATGAAAACAAAACTTCACTTGCTTCCAGGGCTGGTGCCAGAGCTTGGCACTATTGAGCCCCTGCTGAGCCCACACCCCAGAAGGGTGCCCGCTGGATCATCTCCTTTTCCTCCCTGGTGTCACTGCCTGCTGCCCTGCCCTGCCTTAGCATTCAAAGAGTGGCATGGTCAAGAGAGAAAAAACAGCATAGCTGCAGACTGGTCTCTTAAGGCAGCGGTTGCAGAAAGAGAGGGGAACAGAATAAGCATTTCATGAGACATGAGGAAGAGGGAGCCTGAGGGCCAGCACGGCTTGCTCCTTTGCTCAGATGACAAAGTAGGATGACTCCCACTAAGTCTAGTTAGCAAGAGCTGACTTCTGCCTACAACTAATAGTTTGGGGTAGGTATTGGAGGGATGGCTTTTTGCCGGGAATGGGGAACCTGTGGCTCTCTAGGTGTCGCTGAACTCCAACTCCCATCAGCCCCAGCCATGGTAGCCAATGGTCAGGGATGATGGGAGTTGTAGTCTAGCAACGTCTGGTGGGCCACAGATTCCTCTTCCCTGTTTAGTTTTCTGAATTGGTAGCAGAGGAAGCAATTCTGTGGTTGGAACCAGAAAGCACAAGTGCTTTTAAGTATCTATTGAAGACATTTCTGTACCGCGGTTCTTTAAATCTATGCTAGGGTGGGTGAGGTGGAGAGAACGAAGACATTATAGCCTTACCTTGGGATATTTGCCAATTTCTGCTATGCTTTCCGGGGAGTAAAGCTCTCGCAGCCGAGTTGTCCAAGGCCCAGCTGCTCGAATGTGCAGGCTCAATGTGTCCTCATGGGGGGCAGAGGTCAACGTGAAGGGGTGGTACTCAGTGGTCCCCAGAGATAAGCAGGCAATCCGCACCCATTGCCCAGACCTGTAGTCAAAGTCCTGGGGCCTCTGGAACTGGAGGCGAGTGACTCCTGAGCCAAGAAAAAGGAGAGGCCCGAGCATGTTTGCCATTAAGGCACGAATCATAGAACTGGACCAACTCCAAGGGTCATCTAGTCATCTGGAATCTCAGCTAAAGATATCCAGTCCCAATACCGTCCACTCAAATCCCAGCTAAGCAGGCTGAGCTGCCCCTGTCTGGGCCCAGTAAGAGCCCTAAGCTGCTCCTGTTGTCAAAGTTGTTCCTGCCCAGAAGGAGCGTTTCCTTCCTCCCTGTCCCTCCCCTGTGAAAGCTCTCTTCAAGACAGCCCTGCTGCCTTGAAGAACAGCTCCTGCCACTGACAAGGATGGCAGCCTAGCACCAGGGATGGAGGGTAGGGTCATCTTAGATCAGGGGTGTGGAACCTCAGGTCCCATGGCCAAATGCAGCTCTCTAGCCTTCAGAGGTTCTGCAGGCCATGCCCCTCTCCAGGCCACACACCCTCATTGGCCCTGCTTCAAATCAGGAGTGTTTCTGGCTGGAATGTGTCTGTAAACTCTGACAGGGCTTCTTGCTTGTCCCGATGAAAGACTGTGAGGGGTCTGTGGAAGAACACACCCTACTTTACATTACTTGCTCCACCCACTTCTGCATCTGGCCCCACCCACCACTGGCCTGTGACTCTTGGAAGGTTGCCCAGAATGTGGTCCCTGAGCTGGAAATTGCTCCTCACTTGTCTTAGGTGTTACTAGTGATAGATCAAGGACAGGAAGTTCCTCCCTCTGTATTTTAAACATAGAGAGGACCAGCACCAGAAGACTTCTAAGTTGTACCTGATGGAAGAAGTTCAGCCTTCACAACAGCAATTTCCACCTTCTTCCTGCTCAGGCTGATGAGTTTGTCTGCCCCATAGATAAGGGCTGGGACAATGAAATAAATGTGGAAGCGGGGCTGCTGGATCAGAGCATAGCTGCCGTGGATGATAACCTGGAGGACACATCACAACCCAACACTTCAGTTATATTGCATTGAGAAGAAAAGAAAAACCTCTTCTTCCACGACTGTGCTCAAGTGGGCAGGCAGAGCACCAAAGGATCTTGCACAAGCAAAGAGCTATATATTCCTACCCAGAAGCCTCCATGAACATCCAAACGTGCCTCATGCAGAGCCAGAACATTGATCTATCCAGCACAGCACACCTCATTGCAGAAACTGCAAATGCCAATCTCCCCCAAATCCTGACACATTGTGTCTTGTTTACATTTGGTCACATCCACACGATGCATTTAAAGCACACGGTTTCCTCCCAAGAATCCTGGGAACTGTAGTTTATTAAGGGTGCTGGGAACTGCAGCTTTGTGCGTGCTTTAAACGGATGGTGTGTGGGTGTGCCTTTTGTTACAATGGCACTAGGGTAGAGGCAGGGCTCCAGAGTGAATTACCAGGATATAGAGAAGCACGTAGAGATGGTGAGTGATCCAGAACCCCTGGAAGCTGATTCGCCGGAAATAGTGAGTTGCAAAGACATACATAATGGCGAGGACAACTAGAAGAAGCACCCCAGTCATGCCTGAGAGAGAAAGGAAAAAAAGAGGAACACGTGTTAAAATAGACAGCCGCCATGTGTGGTCCTGCTCATAGCTGTCAACTTACAGATTTGAAAATAAGGGACTAGCAGCCTCAAAAATAAGGGATCAGCAGCCAAAATAAGGGATTTTCAAGGCACAAGTATGTTCAACTTCTGAGGCCCTCTGAGCCAAAGGCAGAAAGCCCAGCCAGCAGCCAAACGAAGCCTCAAGTGGTGGTTCCCACAGCGCAGCAACCCGGCAAAGGGGATGCAGCAAGGAAAACCACTGTGGCCGATTTGATTGGCACAAGGCATGCAAGCTCCACCCCCCAGTTGTTCTTAGACTCCTTATTGGGTGAGCAACACAGCCAAGCAACACAGTTGGAGCCTCCCTCCTCCCTGGCCAGCAGGGAGGGAGGGAGAGGAGCTGCTTCCTTTGAAACCCGGGAAATTTAAGGGACATCATCAATAAGGGACAGCAGCAGGACACGGCACTGGGATAAGGGAGTTTCCCGCCAAATAAGGGACGGTTGACAGCTATGGTCATGCTGCTGCAACCCACCCACCCTCCAAGCGCCCACACCTCCACCTGCCCTTACCTGGGACAGTCTCAAAAAACCACCAGTAATATTTGCGAGGAAACTGTGACCTGGAAAGAAAAGAAATGATGGCACAATGTAAAGCTTTGATAAGCACAAGCAACACAGACTGGAACGAAAGTGGTATTGACAATTAGGACTGCAGCCCAAGTGTTATTTATTTGTCTTAACTGCTGTGTTTGGAAATAAGCAGCTCCACGTGATGGCATTGAAAAGAGGAGAGAAGGCGAACCCTTGGCTTTGCACTGTGCGGTTTCCCCCCAAAGTCATTGCTTACTATACAGAGGAAAAACAGAAAAGTTTTGAAGGTGCAGGGATACAGACTGGGGATACAGAGGAAAGGATGAATACCACCGTCACTCTCTGATCTTGAAAGAAGTCGTGTATGAGTCATCATTACAGTGGTACCTCTGGTTAAGTACTTAATTCGTTCCGGAGGTCTGTTCTTAACCTGAAGCACCACTTTAGCTAATCGGGCCTCCTGCTTCCGCCGCGCCGCACCGCTGCGCGATTTCTGTTCTCATCCTGAAGCAAAGTTCTTAACCCGAGGTACTATTTCTGGGTTAGCGGAGTCTGTAACCTGAAGCGTATGCAACCCAAGGTACCACTGTACTATTATTTTAAAGCAAGGAATCTTGACCTCTCCTTTGGGCCCAAGTTGAAGCAATCTTGTGAAAATAGGGTATGTGCAGACTACGATTCAATGCAGCTGGTTTCAATGCCTCTGTTACAGGGGTCAGCAAACTTTTTTCAGCAAGGGGCCGGTCCACTGTCCCTCAGACCTTCTGTGAGGCTGGACTATATTTTTTGGGGGGGGGATGAACGAATTCCTATGCCCCACAAATAACCCAGAGATGCATTTTGAATAAAAGCACACATTCTACTCATGTAAAAACATGCTGATTCCCAGACCGTCCAAGGGCTGGATTTAGAATGTGATTGGGCTGGATCCTGCCCCCGGGCCTTAGTTTGCCTACCCATGGTTTAGAATGTTGCCTAGACAGGACTTTTGGAGTATTCACAAGACTGGTTCAATATTTCAAAATCCACCAAAGAAGTATTGGGCTTCCCATGCTAAAACAGTGGTAAGAAAAAGCTCAAAGTATTGCACAAAATGCTCAAAGATCATGGCTTCTGTTCTTTCTCTAGCCATCTGGGTTGCCCAGCTCTCCTTTGCATTCTTCAGCTATTACCGTATTTTTCGCTCTATAAGACGCACTTTTCCCCTCCTAAAAATTAAGGGGAAATATTTGTGCGTCTTATGGAGCGAATGCAGGCTGCGCAGCTATCGCTGAAGCCAGAAGAGCAAGAGGGATCGGTGCGCAGTGATCCCTCTTGCTCTCCTGGCTTCAGGGTTAGCCACGCAAAGCCTCTTGAGCGCCTCTTCGCTCAAGAGGCCTTGCTTTGCTTTCTTGTTTCTTGTTTTCCTCCTCTAAAAACTAGGTGTGTCTTATGGTTGGATGCGTCTTACAGAGCGAAAAATACGGTATGTATGAAGGGGGAGAACACACTCCCAACTTACCCATCATTTGTAAAGGTGTTGGAGAAGAGGCAGGACAGGACGCTGAGAGGGGTGACTGAGAAGATGTAGACATTCACAATATGGCCCAGGGTGTGCAGAACTGCAGGGTGCAAAAGTAGTGAGAGAATGCATCCACAGCAACAACTATAAAAGCAATTTCAAATCTGTTCCGGGCTGTTTGCATTCTTTTTCCCCCCTTTTTTAAAAAAGCAAATTCACAGTCCTTGAACTGAAACACAGCTAACTCTTTGAAAGTTGCACTTCTCTGAATTTCATTGTGCAGTTTTCCCTCCAAACAATGTCTATGAATTAAATGAATATATTAGGGGGGAACATGCATAAAAAAACCCCGTGAAAATAACATAAAATGCATTCTATTAATATAAGTTCCTTGCAAAAATGTGTGCATTAATCAAAACTGCAGGCAAGATGTGTTCATTAGGAGAAATAAATGAAGAGCTAAATGAAGAATTTTCAGGATTTATTTTTTTAAAAAATTGAGGTTGCAGATGGCCGTGGAAATGTGAAAAACTGAATTTTAGACGGGAAAAATGAGAAACTTAAGAAACGGAAATTAACAAATTCACCCATCCCTACATAAACTGCATGCCGTTTGGAACCCGCAACCCTCAGAAGTGGCTTTTCTGGCAGGTGGAAGGGGCTGTAGTAGAAATGAAATGTGGGGAAAGTCCCACTTTGCAAGCATTTGTTTTGTTGTTACAAAACAGCATTGATCATGAGATAGCTGCTGCCAGCCAGAGTAGACAACACTGACTTACTATAAAGCAGCTTCCCAGGTTCCTCACTTGGCACCTACATCGCTCTCCTATTGGTACTCAGCAAATACTTTTCCGTTGCGTGCCAAGGCCCCATGACCCACAGTGATCCGGCAAGGGGCAAGAGAGGGCGATTCCGTGCTGCGCTGTGCTTTAAATTTCCCGCGGAGCCGCCCAGCTGAACCCGCTCCCCGAGCGCAGCCCCACCCAGCTCCATTGGTGTGGCCAAGCACCAGCAAGCAGGATGCCAGCCTCTGCCCCCTGGCTGGATCACCGTGGGGGCCTGAGGCCTGGCCGCAAAGCCACCCACCTAAGGAGGTAAGTGGACTTCTCTTAGGTCTTTTAAGGTGTCGTTTGTCAGTCTATGTGTTTCGGCTGCTGGTCTTCAGCTCCTGTATTTGATGGTGATCTTAACTCTTGCACTTTTTATTGTATTTTATCATGGCAACATTTTGCTCTTAGGTGGATGATGATGATGATGATAATAAATTTTATTTATACCCCGCCCTCTCCAGCCACAACCGGGCTCAGGGCGGCAAACACCAGGTATAAACACCAGGTATTAAAATACAATTTAAAAACAAGATTAAAACACAACATTAAAATGCAGCCTCATTTCAGTAGAAACTCAAATCAAAAACTTTTTGGGGATGAAAAGTCAAGTCTTCACCAAGGCCAACTATCCAGACTGGTCCTACATGGGCCAGAAAAAAGCCAGGTAAGTCCCCAAATAGGAGCTCCATCACAGAAGGAGAAAGGAAAAAGGAAGAGGGGGAGGGGATCAAGTTGATTCCAAGCCAAAGGCCAGGCGGAACAGTTCTGTTTTACACGCCCTGCGGAAAGAAATCAGATCCCACAGGGCCCTGGTCTCATGAGACAGAGCGTTCCACTAGGCTGGAGCCAGTGTTGAAAAGGCCTGGCTCTAGTTGAGGCTAATCCGACTTCCTTAGGGCCCGGGACCTCTAGGGTGTTGCTATTTATGGACCTTAAGGTCCTCCGCGGGGCATACTGGGAGAGGTCCTGTACGTATGCACTTTCCTCGTATCATTATTTAATCGTTATGATTTATTTTCCCTGGAAATTTTATTTTACAAGGTGCCTCGCCGACCCAAGCAAGATGTGCATAGGCATTTGAGCAAGTGTGCAGGACCTCTCAGAATCTACCTGAAAAGATCAGGGCTCCAGTTGCAATCCAGCGGTGGAAGTCCACGGCAGAATCAAAAGGGATGTAGCAATTGAAAAAGGTCTCCCGCAGAAAAGTGATGAGGTTTCGACACATGGTGAGCAGGATAAATGAGTACATGAAGGAGATGCTGGCTCCTGCTCCCCGGGAGATGAGGATGCCCACAAAGGTGGTATCTGCAATTCCTGTGGGTGGCGATGCAAATCCATAATCTAGAGACAGAGGAGAAATGGTTTGCTGCAGGAACGAGGACCTCACATGCTCCCATTCTCCCCTCTCAGCAGGCTTGGGTTATAAACATGCTGGCATGCCTTACAAGCCCTTTACTACTTCCTGGGGAAAAGCAAGGCAATGCAAAGCCATTCTAAATAACATGTTTTGTTACTATATATGCTCACACCCTGAAAGAACTTCCCTCCTGCTTCTTACTGCGTGCTCAGTGGGGTGGGGTCTGGGTTATAGTGGAGCCATTCAGCTTCATTTTACAGCAACAGCACTGCAACTAAAGTTGTGACCCTATAGGTCTGGGTTTCCAAAGCAGCCACTAAAAAGCAGGACCGGGAAGTTTAGCAACAAACTTCCCTCATTAGCAATTAACGAGCTCTACTTGCAGCAGTCTTGGGTCTCGCTTTTTTTGAGTCTGGCGTTAGTTTGTGCTGCAAGCAGATACGTACGTGGTGGCATCCTTAGCTGGGGCTGCCACTCACTGCCTCCTCTGGAGACAGACATTTCTCCTTCCTCAATGAATGAGGATGTGGAGTTCCGGCCCTGGCTGGCCACGCTAGGTCCTGGGCGCAGCAGTTGGCTTGGTGGAGCTAAATAGGCTGGTAACTCACAGTATGCCCTCTCCACAAAGACCCCAACCGTGATGGCTGAGAATATCACCACGCAGATGATGTGGCGACGGTAATTCTCAATGAAGCGCTTGAATTGCTGGACTTTCTGGTGAATTTTGCTCCTCTGGTACTTCTCCCTCCGTGCCTCCGTGTAGAGATATGGCTGGGGAAAGGACAGCCTGCAACAAGGGAGTGAAAGTCCATATGAGGGTTTGCAAGGCTGCCAAGATATGAATTGACTAGGAGAGCCCCACCCATCCTGGGGCCAGTGCCCTCCAGATGTTGGGACACAACACCCATCATCTTTGACCACCAACACCACAAAACCCATCTCATTTGGCTCACCATCACACCTGAGATGGCAGGAGGACACAAAGTCGGTCCTCAGAGAAAGAACCAGGCAAGCTGATATATTCATGGGCAATAAGTTTGTTCTTAAAGTATCTTGGAGCTTGTCAAAGATTATGAAGTTCATGTATATAACCAAAAGCTGAAAGAAGATCTACAGAGCAGATGAAGGTTTTATCTATAGCAGACATTATTTACATACATGGACCACTGACCTCAGAAAAATGAATTGCCTAACTTTAATACACCTTCAGAATGTCTCATAAGAAAATGTAAACCTCCTTCTGAGGAACTGAAAAAATATTTACTAATGTGTTGTTTAGAAGGCACTGATTTAAGATATCAGGACAACCTAACCCAACTAGGAATCCCAGAACAGCTAGTAACGCACACAGCATTCCTCAGCAATAAAATCTACGCTAATTATTTGCCAGTGCATTTGACTGTAGTGCTAGAATAATGTACTGTACAGAAATCCCAGTGTAAGATGTTTGCAAGAAGGAGCAAATCCAGAAACTGATTATGCCCCATTATTAAATGTTTATTTGCCAACTCAATTACATTGCAGAAATAGTTCTTGAGCACAGCTGAAATATATAAACTAATTTTGGTCACGGTAGGGTGAGTCACAGGACTTTGTTGCTGTGTTAGGAACACAGCAAAATGTCAAAGCAGCACCAAAAAGGTCCATTCTCATGCTGCCACCTCAGATGGCAAACGCCAGGTACAGGTTGGCTCATGTGGGGAGTTGCAGTCCTTTAATTAAGTACACAAAGCCAACCTGAGCCTTGATGCAACACGTACATTGGCCCTCAGACCACAACGATATAAAGTCCATTAACTACTTTCCTCTGAGGTTAGTGCCAAGGCTTTGTCACAGACGAGACAATGATATATTTGGATACCTTCCAGGGATTGATTTTGCTCTGTGGCCTAAAAGCTGACCGCAAGGCAAACAAGGCATTGATATCAACAAAACTCAACAGCGTATAAAATGAGCATTGTGTGTTTGCCTAAGGGAGAGTCCGTCAGAAATGGACAACAATTCTCATCAAAGCACTGCATCACAGGCAGAGGTGATAAGGTGAAAGACATTTCCAGGAATATGGAAATATTATGACGCTATAGGCACACAAAGGCTGGGCATTTCAGAGAACAATCATAAAATGCAAATCAGCTGTGATGCTATCTGAATGTTTACATCTGCCACCCCCCAGGGACTGTTTTATTTCCCTTATGTACTATAGCAGAATGAAGTAGCAACTTCAGAAGAAATGATGCCATCTGCATGTATGTTTTATAAGTTTCCTCTCCCACGTATAAAAACATAAAAGTGTGTCATAAGGTCCCATAGAAAAAGCCTACGTCTACTTAGAAGTAAGCCCAATGGAGTACAATGGGGTTCACTTCCAGGTAAATGTGTACAGGGCTGCAGTCCTAATCTTAACTTTGGGGCATCTGGGATAGCATGCAAAATGGATACGTGCCAATGGCAACAGCCATTATTTGATGTTTGGCACTTCTTGGAGCATCCCTTGCCAAACCTCAGACAAAGCAGAGAATTGGCATGGAAGGATGTCCACCCCCCTTTAAGAATGGTGCGTCTGCACTGCCTTCTAATTTAACAATTCCCCCCAAGGAGCTGAGAGCAGTAAACATGGTTCTCTCTCGCTTTAACAATTCCATTTCACCCCGACTTGTTATGAGGAAAGGACAGCAACCAGCTGTTTGTGAAGCATTCACACCAAACTGTCTGCAAAAGGGTTGAGGGAAAGGTTAGGCAATGCTGGCTATTTGTTGAGCCTTCGTTCCAATATGATTGCAAGGGGGTGGGTGATGGGATGCTGCGCCAAACAAGTGTTATTCCACCTCTTCCAGTGCATTTTCCGCCTGCTTTTCTTACTGCCTGACTTGAATTTGCCGGTATGCAATTGATTCCATTCAAAAGCAGCAACAGTCTGGAAGTGCCATCACTCAAGGTTATAAAACATGCTTGGTGAGGATTTAAATCTGGCTCTTCCTGCCCAACACTAACCATTACTTTATACTGGCTCTCAAGGTAGCACTGTTTTAAATTAATTAACTACAAGCCTTTATAAACTGCTTAATGATTAAAAATATATGTAAGTGGTGTACAGCAACAACAAAAATAAACAATGGGCTGAAGCTGTAAGATCACCTGACCCAATAGGTGCCCATTTGACCCAAGAGATTCCCATTTGATCAGGCATGCACCTTCAGTGTACTCTTTTCAGTGCCTGTAAAAAACATTTTTATTCAGGGAAGCCTAACCAGATACGGAGAATGATGACATGCCCTTTAATCTGGTTTTTAGCTTAATCATGGACTTAAAAAAAAATGTTTTAAATTGTTGTTTTCAACTGTTTTCACTGATAATTTTATTCTTTTTGTAAACTGCTTTGATTTTATTTTTTTTTACATGCAGGTGGTATAGAAATGTTGATAAAATAAGTAAATAAACCCAACTAAGTTCTAAGGATGCGGGTGGCACTGTGGTCTAAACCACTGAGCCTAGGGCTTGCTGATCGGAAAGTCGGCGGTTCAAATCCCCGCGACGGGGTGAGCTCCCATTGCTCGGTCCCTGCTCCTGCCAACCTAGCAGTTCGAAAGGACGTCAAAGTGCAAGTAGATAAATAGGTACCGCTCCAGTGGGAAGGTAAACGGCGTTTCCATGCACTGCTCTGGCTTCTCCAGAAGCGGCTTAGTCATGCTGGCCACATGACCCGGAAAAACTGCGGACAAACGTCGGCTCCCTCGGCCTATAGAGCGAGATGAGCGCCGCAACCCCAGAGTCATTCGCGACTGGACTTAACTGTCAGGGGTCCTTTACCTTTACCTTTACTTTTTAATTTCTAAGGAATAGATCTATTGAAATGAATGGGCTATATGCAATACTACTCCTAGTCAGATTAGACCCATTGAAATTGATGGATATGACCAATTTAGGTCAATTTGTGCCCTTGGGCCTACTCAGAGTACAACTTGGCTACAACTCAATGTTATTAAAACAAAAATCCAGAATAAAACAGCACTTCAAAGGCATATGGAGAGCAGGAATTCAGAAAGTGGAGAGAAACAAAAATAGGGCCCTGGACAAAAATATGACTCTACATGAGATCTGATGTAACTGATGGTTTCTGCTTCACACTTGCAGAGGGAAGGGAGTTCCATAATGCAGTTACAGCAGCAGAAAATGCCTGTTTTGGGATCACCATGATAAATTCTAATCTAAATAGATGTCACGTTGGAAGGCTATTAAGAAATACAATCAGACACTTACTTTTTTCCTGGCCTCCTCCTCAGGTTTTGCCCTGGCATTCCCCCAGAGGTTGCATCTCCTTCCAGAATCAGGGGCTGTTCCCGATTTAGGATGATGCTTAAGGAAGCAGATAATAGCCTTTCAGAGAACAGTCTTATCTATTACACGACTTGGAACCAAGAAAGCTGACCCAGGCCCTTTGATTTTATGGTTGCTTAGAAGGAAAAAGTTTGCCCACTGCAAGTGAATAACACCAGCCTCCCTTAATATTTCCCACGCCCAGCTTATTTGTTCTGCCACATTTCTGGCAGAAGAAACAACTCATCTTCTTTAGCATTTTGTTTTCTGAATAACAGCTGTAGCTCTTCTAGAGAAAGTGGGTTTGATAATCGGAAAATGCTGAAAATCTAGTTGCATGGAAAACAGAACAGGCATTCCTCTTAGGGTGTTTCTAGGGATGTTTCTTATGACATCTGTTTTGCAGCCATAAGGTTGTGTTTAACATAGCAGCACCTACACTGGGGAATCAATTATTAGACAGGGGTCATCTGTGTTTTGTTCTATATGCTGCCTTAAAATGATTTTATTTACCCTGTCATGTGAGCGAGTTTTATGCCATTTTTTCCACTCTTGAGCATATTTTTTTCCTTGATTCCTCAGCATGCAATTTTATGTGTAAATATAATAAAACAAATAGAGACATAGGACGGCTGCCTTATACCAAGCCAGACCACGTTGGTTCGACACTGACCGGCAGCAGCTCTCCAGGGTTTCAGCAAGGAGATGCTAGCAAGTGGAGCCGAGTCATTTTGCATAAGTGACCTATGGATCAGGTTGTTTTTCTACGTGACTGGTAGTCTGGGCTGGCTGCTGCTAGCACCACAATAACATCGCGTGCTGGGTGACACCCTTTTTAAAGGAGTGACAATAACATCACATGCTGGGTGACACCCTTTTACAGCACCCGGCACTTTCATTGGCATTGTGTCTGGAAGTGCCCTTAGGCCTAGCGCCGTTTACTCTTTGGAAACAAAGATCTCCGGTTAACTGCTGCATAGCCCATGCAATAATACTGGGGGTGGGGCACACTGTTCAGAGGAATGAGCAGGTTGCAGTTAGACATATCTTTGGCACAGTGGTAGCCCAGAGGGCATAATGGCCTCAGCACTCTCTCCAGGAAACACACAGTGGAAATTCGCTCAGTGCCGTTTAAAGAACCTTAACGTGGCTCTTCCTCCTGTCTCTCCGCACTACCTTAAATATGCAGAAACACGTTCATCTCACAACCTTTCGTTCCTCCTCCAAACCAATTTAAACACCTTACATAGCAACCATTTAAAAACCAGGGGAAGTGGCAGGTTATTTTTGTTTTTTGTTTCGGCAGGGCAAGGATTTCAGCTGGAAAATGGAGAATGAGGAAATGGTTAAAAGACCCTCCGGAGCTATGTTTCATGAACGAGAATACCCTATAAACAACGCTAAGTTTCACTGTCCAGCATCAATGTGTGGGAATTTCTTTCAAAACCAGTAGGTGAATTTACTCTTTCACTTAACTGTAAGGAATGGATTGATTAACAGAACTATAACCACAGCAAAAAGCTTAGCAGAGAAACGGATAACACATTTAAGGCACATCCCTGACACACACACCCCAAAATAGAATCCTTGTAACTGTAGTTTGTTAAGGGTGGTGGTAATTGTCCCTGGGATACTTTAGAGGAGGAAATGTGCTTTAAATGTATGCTGTGTATCTGTGGAGCGAGTGCCGGACGCGCTTGAGAGGAGCCCGGCTCACAGAGGATCAGTGGCTGAGCAGAGAGCTTACTTGTTGCTTCTGTCCTTGTCGATGACGGAGGCTCGATTGCTCACATTTTGTCTGAATCTGTCAGGAATTCCTTTGAGAGACAGAATAAGGAAAGTCATGTCTGTTCATAGGAAGGATTTTGCAGAATAAGGGGAAGAGAAAGAGCTCACTAACTTCTTAGGGTTGTGTCTCAGACCAGAGGTCCATATGGTCTGTTTCTGACAGTGGCATTGTAAATATAGATGGATGAACACATACACAGAGGCTTTTCTAGCAGGAAATTGGTGGTGGAAAGAGATGCTTAACCCAAGTGCCAGACAGCCAGAGCCATAGCTGGGTGATCTTACGCCCCTGGCAGAACTGTCCAGATTGTGCCCCCTCAGCCACTGACAAATAAGCTCTTCTTTCCGCCTCTCCTCCAAACCCCTCCCCCCATTTAATTCACCCTCTATTTAAAACCTTTTCTTATAAGGCAATAATCAATATTTATATTTATGGACATATTTTAAAGCCGATTTTGTGCCCCCCTTGCCTACGCCCCTGGAGGGGGCCCACCTCACCACTCCCTAGCTACGGCCCAGCAGACAGCCACCTACCTGTCTGTTGGGCACTTGGCAATCCCACACAAGGGCGTTATGATTGATGCCATGGGATTGGAAGGTGGTTTGTCCTGCCCACCTGTCAAAGTTGGCTTCAGCAAGAGATGTGGAGCCAAAAAGATTCCCCACAGGTGGAATAGAAGGAAGGCTGATTCTCCATTGCAAGTCCAACCACGCTACCCCAGTATTGTGAGGGTTGGAAATTCCAATTTACCTAACAATTCAGCTGCTTAGTTTTGCCTTTCCATGCCCCCCACCCCCCAGCTCAGGCCTGAGCTCTCTCTTTTCCATTACCTTTAACGCAGAGGTGAGTGAAGCGGAACTCCTGGTCGTGGTCCCGCAGCATGTAGTTAAAATCTTCCCAGGTGAGCTCCTGTTTGTCTTCGAACCCTGACTCCTTGAACAAGGACTCTATGACCTTCTCAGTCTGATCTCGCGAGAGGCAGTTGTTGTAGATCTCAATGAAAGACCTAAGAGGCAACAGAAGACAACGTGGTCAGCAAACAAGGAGCCTGTTGCAAAAGGGCTGCGGGCCGAGTCAAATTACCGGTATGTTCAGAAAAGGGGCCCAGAACATCTGAGTCTTCACTAAGACCCTTGCAGTCAGATGTCCACCCCAGTGGCGTAGCGTGGGTTGTCAGCACCCGGGGCAAGGCAAGTAATTTGCGCCCCCTAACCCGTGGATTTGCGCCCCATAACCAGTGGATTTGCGCCCCCTAACCCTAACCCCCAGATGTTGCGCCCGGTGCGGCCGGCCCCCCCTGCACCCCCCACGCTACGCCACTGGTCCACCCTAAGCATTTCTGGTCACTAACAACATAACCTCTACCTGCTTAATTTTTCCTTACATTATGCATTCTGTTCTCAATTGCAAGAGTTTATGGTATTAGATGTCATATGTGTACTGAGCATTGATTAATATTTTTTTTTAAAAAAAAGAATATCAGAATCCACTAGGGAGAAACTGTCGCTTCGTGTGAATTTCAATTTCAAAACTGGGGTTAAAGAATCCACTCTCTGTCACTGGCCTTGTTCCTCACCCTGTAGGGCTTTTGCCTAGAAGGAATGTGTCCTTGCATTCGGATAACACACTTTGCTTGGCTGGATGGAGGGTAAAGAGAAACTGGCCTGTTTACATTACTGTTTACATTTCTTGACCTGTCTGCCCTGCCCACCACTGATATGTGGCCCTTGGGAGAATAAAATGTGGCCCTCTAGCTGAAAAAGACTTCCTTCCCCGGCACTATCCAGTACCTCAACATCCTGAAGAATTCTTCCTTTGAAAGAAAGCCATTTCCATCTATATCATACATGGTGAACATCAGTTTTGACTTCTCTTGGGGAGATCCTGGTGGAGGAAGAGTAAGATGAGTAACATCAAAAATACCATAAAAATGCTTATCATAAAGTCCATTTGATAAGGAATTTTTATGAGAGCCCAATTCTCCAGCCCCACAATAACTTCAGAGGCACTGATAACTGAAGGGAGGGGATTTGTGTTCCAGGAAACGGGTGGGTGAGAGGATGTGGGAGAGACTATTGTTGCAGCCTGACACATGAGGATGACGCAGATCTCTCAGTTTTCCTTGTTTTCACTCTTTAGATTCAGGTCTTCACATCCCAACATCAGCTGGCAATTTTATTTAAAATCCTCATAAAAATCTATCTGCACTTTGGTGCAGAATACAATTTTGAAATGCAATTTCACTTAATCTATACATTCCTAGAAAGCAAGTTCCTCTGATACAATGCATTTTTGTATGTTATTTTCACTAAAATATGCATTTCTAGGCACACTTTTACCCTGTTGGTTTTTCCACACATTATTTGGTTGGAGGACCAAACTGCAAATTTTGGGTAGGTGTGAATTTTGAAGAAACGGCTATGTTTTGGTTGGCATACTGTTTGGAACTGGTTGTTAAATGTGAACTGAATCAAATTTCTCTCCCCCCTTTATTGGGAATGGCCTTCCCATAATTATCCTGATCAGTAGCTTCTCAGGTTGGCTGAGCAGGACTCACTTCCTGCTGAACCAACATGATTCCCCATTGACCATCTGGCCGCTGGTCTCTGCTACTAGAGATGTTCCTTGATGTACACATGATAAACACCTGGAATGTTTTCCCATGTAGAATTCTGAATGCCCTGATTAGGCTCCATTCCCTCCCATACTTTTTCGCTGATATCCAATTTCACCTTTCATAAAGACCACGAAGATGTCTAGGAACTCCCGGAAGGAGAGATATCCATTGCCGTCTTTGTCAGCGAGTGAGAACATGGAGTCCACAAACACAGACTGGGGCTTGAGCCCCAGCGCATCTGCAAACTCCTCCCTGCTCAGCTCACACTTCAACGCTTCCTTGGCTTTCTGGGAAGTTTCCAAGCTGAGCTCCCCAGCGTCTAATCTGTCAATGTCTAGAACCTGGAAAGGACAAAGCACATGGTGAGGTTCCTGGAATAACACTTCTCAGGCTCCCCAGGAATAAGAGAACTGCAACAAAGCCTTTCTGTCTGCTCTGCAAATATTAGTTTAAAATAACTTATCAACCAAGGTTTGATTTCTATCTCCATAGTTCAGAACATCGATCGGATCATCTAAGCATTATGTAAGTGCCTCTGTTCGATGTTTAACAAAAAAAGAATGCAGGAAATCCCCGACAATTAAAAGGACACAGTTCCACGTTGGGGGAAAAGCTGCTGTAAGGAAGAAGGAGCAATGACTTATTCATGCCACGCTTGGGCAAAGGTTTCTAGCAAGAAGTGCAAGGGAACGTTCTTTCATATGTGGTTATCTTGTAAAAGGATAGAAGAGTATTGGGAAATGATCCATAATGAATTGAAAAAAATGTTTTAAAGTACTTTCCAAAAAACCCAGAGTCCTTCCTGTTGGGGGTAATTCAAACTCAAATACCCAGGTGTCAAAAAAGGTTATTTATGTATGCTACTACTGCGGCCCGTGTTTTGTTAGCCCTGAAATGGAAAACAAGCGAGGTCCCAACCAAAGAAGAATGGCAACTTAAGTTGACAGAATATGTACAACTTGCAGACTTAACATATAGAATAAGAGAACAAGAAGAACCTATGTTTAAAGAAGAGTGGGAAATGTTTATTGAATAGATGGGAAATAACTGTGTACAGCTGAAAACACTGGCAGCATTAAGATAAATTCAACAGTGTAAATAAGTTTTGATGGATACAATAATGGAATACTGAATGATATAGTTTTTGTAAAATATGCAGGGATATAAGATATATAAAATGAACCATGGAAAGAGAAGACGGGAAGTCATTGAGGATGTAAAATGTGTATTTTAAATTGTAAAACAGAAAATTTAATTAAAATTATCTATATAAAAAGAAGTGCTGGCCTTAGCCATCTTTTCACCAGCCTTTTGCTGACTGCAATATTTGAGGGGCAGTATTTGGAGGTGGGGTTAGAATGCTGGGAATAGACAAAGGACAGCAGGTTTGAATCTCACTGGGGAGATCTGAGGCCTGCCACTGTCTCCAACTCTCACTGAGCACCCAGGGTATATCTGTAAGGATAAAAATGGAGGATGTACATAATTCTGAACTCCTTGGAGGAAGGGCGGGATACAAAAAATGAAAGTAATGAAAGAAACTACCATGCTCCTTCTTGCCATGCTCATAAGGCTCTGCATTTTTGAGGGGGCTTAAAAAAAAAGAATTATGCCAAATTTGCATAGGATTGTACCCAGTGCTAGCCCTACACAGAATGCACCCATTGAAGTGAGTGAACACGAGTCCTTCATTAATTTCAGTGAATCTACTCTGAGTAGGACTAGCATTGGATACCACCGACAGCGTCACTGACATGCACTCCTCTTGGTGAGATGAGCATTTTTCAAGGAGGAAGAGGAGGAAGTCATGATGGGAACACATCCCCTCTTGGACTCTGAAAGTGGCTGTCCTACACTGAAAAGTTTTTGTCAAATAGGTAAGCACATGCACAGATCTATCCCTGAGAAGGGCTATTTAAGGAAAGAGTTGGAAACATTTGCCTGAGCAACACAGTGCAACATTGAGGCTCTTTTTCACGTACACATGGCAAATTACCTTGATTATACACAATAACATCATCACTATGTATGTGCTGTCCGCTTATCTTGTTTGCCCTCTACATGTTCTCAGAGACAGATGTTTACATTTGCAGCTATTTATATCTTAGTAGGGAAGAAGGGCCAAAAAACAAAGTTTGCATGTGGTTATTTGATGCACGGCTTTCTTTGAAACAAGTCCCATCGTGTTCAGAGGGCCTTGCTGCCAGGTTTGTGAACACTGTGGGTGGTATTCAATGCTAGTCCTACTCTGAGTAGACCTATTGCAGTTAATGGCCGTGGCGAACTTAGGTTCATTCCTTTTAGTGGGTTTACTCTGAATAGGATTTAGTTGAGTACAACCCAAGGCACCAGATTCAATTAACCTGGTACGCCAGCTGAAGTCAGTGTTCTTTTGTCTGTCCTGAGTTCTAGTGTTATGAGAGTACCTGGGCAAATATATGCCTGAAGAAAATATCTAGGATGTCCTTTCTCTGCTCCTTGGTAACAGCCTTCTTCAGCAGCTGCTGTTCCTTCATGTCGGATATGTGGAGAGAGAGTCCATTTCTTTCAAGGTAGACTTTCAGACGATTAAGAAACTCCTTTCGCTCTGCCTCTCCATCAAACTGCAACACCTATGAATAAATGAGATGGAGAAGTTCTGATCGTGGAAATCCCTTCTCAGGAATATCTCCTTTTTTAATCTTTCTACATAGCAACTAAAAACAATGGATGGACAATGTTGCTTCAGCTGCTGTTAATTGATTTGTTTTAAACTGAGGCTTAATAAGGGATTTTGGCTGATAGGAAGTCAGGATTTCAACAGACATGACATTCAATGAGTGTTCAATGTTTTTACACTAATATCTGAGCTGTACAATCAGTGCTGGATTGAAGCTGAAGCTTAAATATTTCAAAGGACCTCAAAATACATCTTTAAACTATATTTAAAGTTTAGCATAATTGTCTTTCTGTATGTCAACAGTTTTCATATATGCTAAGTAAGAAATCAGAAGGCATTTCTGTTTGAAAGCATTTCAGATGCAGATATGCTTACTGGAAGACAAATGTTTTAGTTTTTTAGCTGCATCCTCATCTATGTATCAGTATACAAAGGCAAATATAAATTTTTATTATTTCTATTTCCATTTCTGTTAGAATGCTGCATATTTTTGGTAATGTAATTGAACAGGGACTCTTAAACTTGACACAGCTTAGAGCAGGTGCTGGGAACCTTTAACCCTCCAGATGCTGCGGAACTACAACTCCCATAATCCCTGGGGCCGTTGGCATGCTTGTTGGGCCTGATGGAAGCGGCAATTCAGCACTATTTGGAGGGCCAAAGGTTCCCCACACCTGGCTCAGGGCTTCAGCATGTCTTAATCTGGGCCTGTGCACACTCTTAAAGTTATTCACATACAACGTCCAAGGAGCGTACAGTCTGTGTACACAACATTTGAGCTGTACAACACTTGTCTATGGGTACAGATAGCAGCATGTGAACACATCTAATGTTTTCAATATAGTTAATGAAGGAGTAAACAAGCAGACAGACACCGTACAAGTTGCATACCAGGTCATATTCTTTGGGGATCTTCAACAGCAAGGTTTTGTTGCCCTTGTTGTTGGAAAGGACGGTCTCCACCTTTTGCTGGCTTTTCAGAAAGATGCTCCGCAGCACGGCCAACTTGCTGTCCAGAACTCTGATCCCCTTGTCTTCCTGCAGCTGAAGGTAGACTAGAGAGCTGTCTGTCTTGGGGTCTTGCCATTCAAATGCTGGGAGAAATGAAAAGATTTATTGATATCTTGCCTTGGGTGCAGGACCCAAGGAGGCAAGTGGGATAAATTAAAACAGATACAACCAAAAACGCACAATAATTTTAATAATAATTTTAGCATCAGAGCTTTCCTTCTTCTAGATGGGCCACCTTCCCAGGTTGGCAAGCTCCATCTGCCCCTCACCTCCCTCTGAGGCAGGTGCAGAAACCACCTTCTTGACCGTTGGACCAATTATTGCATGGGTAGGCAAACTAAGGCCCAGGGGCCGGATCCGGCCCAATCGCCTTCTAAATCCGGCCCACATACAGTCAATCAGTGTGTTTTTACATGAGTAGAATGTGTGCTTTTATTTAAAATGTATCTCTGGGTTATTTGTGGGGCATAGGAATTCATTCCCCCCCCAAAAAAAATATAGCCCCCCCCCCCCCCAAGGTCTGAAGGACAGTGGACAGTAGAAAGTCCTTAACTCACATGGTTTGAGATCCATCAGCTACCCGCACCTGGTTTAGCTGGCCAGTCAAAGTCATTCCCAGGGTGTGGCCTCTGTCACATGCTGACAGGAGCCACAGGGGAGGGCTAAGTGCAGGAGACCAAAGGTGGGGGACCACAGGTGGACAAACTACCCCAGAAGGAGCATGGCATGTCCTCCAGCAGAAGTACCAGCCCTCCCCGAACACCCCATACATCCCTAGCACAGATGTAGAGAGGAAGTAATAATATTGTTTGCTGAGCAAGGAACAAAAGATATTCAAGGAGACTTTCCCCACTACTCCTGCATCTGCAGGAGAATTTGGTTCCAGATGCTTTGGGAAATGCCTCACCGTGGATAGAATCTGCAGATATTTCTGCCTGTACCGAGGGGCTTTGCTTCTTCTTCTGCAGCTTCTTGAACGCTCTCCTCCGAAAGGCAGCAACGATCCAGGCGACAAACAGACTCACTGCAGAGACACCAATGGGACAGGCCTTGATGCAAAGCTAAGCCCTCGCTGCCAGGGTTGCTTGCCGCTAATGACCGTGCTGGGGGTTGGCATTGTTGGGCACCTGCCACAGCCCGCACCCTGCAAGGGACCCACTGACAACTCCTGAAGCAGCCTTCTCCAACTTGGTGCCCGCCAGGTATTTTGGGCCACAACTCTGAGCGTTGCGGTCCAGTAACATCTGGAGACACATATTCCCCATTCCTGATCAAACCATACGTTTTATGAAATAAATAATAAATAAACAAACCATGGGTGCTTTTTTAAGTGGTGGTTGGTCCTAGAGATAAGTGAACATGCCAATTTCAGTTTCTCTCAGTTTTCCCATCTTAAAATTGGTTCTCCACATTTGCAATTTAATTATATATCTTTTTAAAAAAGCTCTTGTGAAAATTCATCAGCATTTTAGTGTGAAATTCCCCAAATATACACATTTTGAGAGGCAGCTTTTCCTAATATCCTACATTTTTGCAAAGCAATTTCCCCCAATATAAGGAACTTCTATAGGTTATGTTCAGCAATATATGCTTTTATTACATGCACTTTTCATCCTAGCATGTTCATGTTTGCACATGTTACTTGGTTGGAAAAACCACACAGCAAAATTTGGAGAAGTGTGAATTTCAGAGGACGACTGCGTCGGTTCAAATATTGTTTTGGAAATTGTGAATTTGGTAAATTTGCCTTTTAATGCCTAATGAACTGAATGAAAACCCCAATGGCCGTTTGCTCCAATTCAGCTTCAAAGAGTGGGTTTTCATGGGGAAAGTTCCAGAGCAAAGAGAGAGAGAGAGAGAGAGCGCTTTAAAGTGGGGACCTGTGCTTGGAAGAAGCAACACAAAAGGTGTGGCATCAGTTTCAGCAAGAACACATGTCTCTCCTCCAAATAGTACAGGTTAACAGCTGCATCATCTGGCAGTGTTTGGGGTCGCCCACTGATTAGATCAGCTTAGACTCAGTACCACTGACTCATGTAAGACTCATCATCATATAAACATGGTCATACTTTGCAGAAACTTTTGATAGCAATGCGGCACCCCTAAGGACATGGCCCCAATCCAACCCCTCCTTGGGATGTAAAGTAAGCAAAACCTGGTCTGAAACAAACCCAGAGGGAAGCAACAGAGAGCAATGATGGTGATCACAAATCCAGGTACACTCCCTGCAAAGTAATCCAGTACGGTTAGCTTGACACAGACAGGCAGCTGTTGTGAAGTCACTTGCTGGGGCTGAGAACATGGCGCACCTGGGAAGACAGACAAAGTTGCCGGGGCATTAGACCAAACTGATCACTTGTGCCCTCAGCCACCCAAGAGTTCCTGAAGATTGCATAAATGCAGCAAGTATTTCCCTCCCCCGTAGTTGCAATTTGTACACAGACCCACCCCACTCCAGCAACGCTTTGATCTGATGTCAACTCCCATCCAGGCCAAGTGCCAAATTGCTCCAAGTTCTCTGGCCAAAAGGGATGGAACTTGCTTTGGCAATGGCATTTTCACTGCTTCTCTATCTCTCTAGCAGACAGAAAGCATCTCAGGTGATCTGGGTTTACAGGTGTGGGTAAGCTGAGTGGGTTGTGTGTTGAAATTCTGGAAATTACTCCATACTGCAACAATGGACTGAAGCGATTGTGGCACCTAACATAAAAATAAATAAAGCTGCTCTTGCAGCAAGATGGAAGGAATGTCATAAAAATGCTCCCACTGTAAATATCACAAGGTGCAAAAAAACCCCAAAAAGCCCCACCCTACCATGGTTTCCATCCAAAATCTCCTCCTGGAACATTATTCCTTTTTTCAATTGAAATTTTGATATATTTCAATTGCTTCAAGCATTTTGAATGGGAGCGGATCATTTTCAATCTGGATCATATTCAATCATATTCAGTCTGGTTATAAACTCTGGTTGAATTCAGACATAACCCTAACAACCATAGCTTAATGTAATTTTTTAAATAATAATAAAAAAAACCTTGGGCTTATATGCTCCCATCTCCCCTTCTCTAACACAGCTGCAGGGAACAGAATAGAAATATTCACTTTCTGTTTCAACACAGTTTGCTGTTTTGTTTCCAAATCATGACAAACTGTGGTTAGTTTTGATTCCAAATTATCTGAACAAGCAACACCAAGCCATGGTTTCTGGTCCTGGTCTATTTGGAGAAGTGGACAAGGGTTATGGAACAGATCCTGTGGGGTTGCTCTACTGACTGGTCAACAGCCCAGAACAGAAAACCCACCATCATGCAAGAAAAACACTTCTGCCTGGATGTCTTTTGACTCTGCATCGGTGACCGCTTCCAGGATGTCGTGGAATGTGGTATTTTTAATTTCTTTAATCTCGTCAGAGGAGAATAACCTGAGAAAGGGAGTCAGCAAAAGGGTTAAGTGAAGCGACAGCCTGTTGCCGCCTGTGGGGTCTTGGGCAGAAGCCCACTTGATACATGATCCCTTTTAACTGGTGACCCATTTTCCCCTTCCCTACGGCCCCAAGCTTCAGATATAATTTCTGTGCCAACAGATATGAATTATGCAATGTATGTACACTGTGTAAATTAAACATGTTTGTGCATGCATGGAATTTTTGTGAAGCTCTGCAATATGTAGGGGGCATCACGATATTATGCAGGGCATGGAAGCCCTGGCCTGAACCAGTGGAGATCCTATTAAGGAATCTTATGGCTTTGGAGATTTCAGTCAACACTGCTCTGCATTTTCAAGTGTGCCTTTATACCCATAAGGTCTAGAACCTTGGGCAGCCTTCGAGGGTTAAATGTTCAGGTGTCTGCATGTTACATCTAATATTCAAAATGTTGAGCTTGTACAGATTTGCAACATGCACACAATCTTGCCATGCCCCATTGAACTAATCCTTGTACCAGCACAGGAGATGGAGAATTTATCATACAATGTGCACCACCTGGGTATATATGACTTTTAAGAAAATTGACTTATCTATGTTGGCTTCTTTTTTAAAAAAAGATATTGCACAGGGACGGTGCAGTTACGTAGTCAGGAGAGTTCGGTCTTTCCACAAGCTAGTGCCTCACTTTCAAGAGAAATACGTTTTCCCATCACTCAGCCTGCAATTTGCTGCTGCTGTGAAAATGTGATTCTTCCCAAACAGCAATTAGCACTGAACTTCCAACACTCTCATATCTACAGCCCCAGTGTCTTTTTCCCCTTTCCTTTTAGAGTAGCTTGCCCCACTGCCCCCTCTGCACTGAGAAGATTTATCATTGTTTAACAACAACTTCTAGGGCTGCCCATTCCTTTAGACCAGGGTTGGGAACCTCAGTGCCGGAGGACCAATATTGGTCCTACAGCCCTGTCTGTCTCCACAGACCACACCCACTTCCAAAAGCCACACCCTCCAGGAGTGCTTTTGCCTGGCTGGTCTGTGTCTTTGAACTGTGATAATGCCTCATTTGCCTGGATACGTCAAAGTGTGTCTGTGGGCACAGAAACCTCTGACCTCTGCATGGTGGGTATAAAGCTCCACCCACTTTTGCATCTGGCCCTGCCCACTACTGGTACGTGGCCCCCAGAAGGTTGCCCGTGAGGCAATGTGGCCCTCAGGCTGAACAAAGTTCCCCATCCCTGACTTAGGTACAGCTTCGGGGCTTGGCATTTTCAAGCATTTCCAAAGGCTCATATCCTACTAAGAGGCCCACTGCCAATCCCTGGAGCCTCCTGCTACTGCTGGAGGAGCAAGGAGGAGGAGGAACAGCAGTAACCGCAACACATTTTGTTTGCACTCATCCTGTGTGGGGGGGTGCAGGTTTGGCCCAGACAGAAGGCAAGTGAATTTGCAGAATGAGGCAAGAATAGGAGGGAAAGGAGGAGAGGGAAGTGGCTGTACTCAAGCCCTTGCTGAAGGGCTCTCTCAAAATCTGAAAGCCAGGGATGGGGAATCTGTGGTGCTCCTGGGGGGAGGCTGTATTTGAGACATTATAGAGCAGGGTAGGGAGAGAAACTGTGGTCCTCCAGATTGCTGTACTACAACTCCCATCATCCCTGACTTTTGGTCTTGCTGACAGGGGATGATGAGAGTTCAAATCCAATGACACCTGGGGGGGGTGGTCACATCTTTCCAACCTCTGTCACAGAGTATGGATACACATGATATGGTTAAAGAATATTAAATGCACATGACTTCCCCCGGAGAGCCTGGGAAACTGTGGTTTGTTATAAAGGTGTTGCACACTGTAGCTCTGTGAGGAGGAAACTACAGCTCCCAGGAGTCACGAATATAATGTAAAATTGTAGTGTGAATCTGTCTAGAGTTTCTGGTACTTGGTGGCAATGGCAAGAAATTTCCTCCCTCTTTCTGCAAGCTGGCCTTCCCATTGTTCATGCGCCCCATGCTTATGAATGCTTTCAAAAAGTTGGTTAGCTGTTACCCATTCTTGGTGTTTTCAAACCAGAACCGGTCTCCATCCCGTAAGCGAAGAAACTGGTCCTGAATGATGCTGTGGAAGAGCTTTCTATCAGCTTCCAACAGGCCCCCAAGCAGCAGTTCCAGGCGGTCTGTGTCATTGCTGTACATCTCTGCAAGTTCTCTGCAAAGCTGGGAACAAGCCGCAAGGTTAGGTTGCTGCGTCAAGACGAGTGGGAGGCTTTCCAGGCCGCTTGGTTAGTTAGAGGGGCAGGCTGCATCGACACCGCACATTTAAAGCACATGACTTCCCTCAAATAAATCCTGGGGACTTTATGAAGGCTAAATTACAGTCCCCAGGATCCTTTGGTGGAAGCAATTGTGTATATGTATGGCATATACACAGAAAGAGAGAGGCTGCTTTGAATCTGTCAGCCAAAGCAGCTTCACTCTGATCATACAGTAAAAGAACAAAAGCCTTCAAAACATTTTTCTCTGTGGCTTTTTTGAGCTTGCACATCTCCCAAAGACCTTAATGCCGCCTTTCTTAACTCTGGGCCCTCAGATGCTGGGCTATAGCAGGGCTAATGGGCGGCGATAGGAATTGTAATTCAACAACACCTGGGGACTGGAGACTAGGGAAGGCTGTCTTAAAGAGGGCAATGGGCAGGCCTGAAAGCTGTGGAGCAGTGATGTGACAAGAGGACCATGGAAGCTGACTTATAGTAGGTCAGATCATTTATATCTAGCAATGTCTGCTCTGAGTAGCAACAGATCCCCAGCGACTCAATGAGGCAACTTTCCTCTCATCTGATACATGTTTCTTCAAATATGTCAAGGATTGAACCCGGGAGCGGATGTGTGCAAAACAGGTGCTCCTCTTCTACCAAGTTGAAGGGCTGCAAAATGTGAGGCTTTGCCTCTCCTGCAATGTTTCAGCTGCCTGGATTTTCTCAGGTAATGTCTGATTTTCTATGGGATGCAGCACAGAAATGTAGGGTTGCTCTTATAGGCACTTGGGAAAATTCTCCATCTCCACGGATGGTCCTGCTTACAGGAGACAAAATGCACCCTGTTTCATGCCTGGCTTATCTATGCCCCCACCCCCTGCAAGACCTCTGACAGAGTACCGTTTCATTTGGGTGGATGTCCTGCCATTTAGTAGCAATGGAGTGGTTGAAGAACTCCCTGGCTCTATTATAGGTAGTTAATCCAAGGTCCCGCCCACGATGAATCCAGTTGGCTACGAAGTCCATGCGGGAGTACTTCAGGGTCCCATACCAGTAATCTGGAGAACAAGTGCAACACAGGACCATCAGGGCACTGCAACACAGAAGAATCCCTGCAGAGAGCAGAATGGCGGCCTTGGCAAGGCACCTCTGAGCGCTCAGACAAGCATCTGTTCTAGAAGGAACCCGGAAGGACCCAGCCTGCTTCCACATTAGGACTCCTTAGTGTTAGTGCTAAGGCATCCCTGTTCAGCTTTAAGCTGTAAGTGGAAATGTAAAAGTGGTTCCACGGTTAATGTTGAGCCTCCTCTCCATTGCAAAACTCAGAGCAGAGCAAATTTTAGAGGATGGCTAAATTTTAGTTTGCTTTTTTTAAAAAAAGGGCAAATCAAGTTCGCTTGGCTTTAAAATAATAATAATTATTATTATTTATTTGTACCCCACCCATCTGGCTGGGTTTCCTCAGCCACTCTGGGTGGCTTCCAACAAAGATTAAAAATACATCAAAATGTGAACTGAATCAAGTTTCTCTGCCATCCTTACTCATAATAGGCCCACTGAAACTAATGGACCTAAGTTCATGGTGAATTAATGGACCTGGCCAGGTTCCAGCTGGTTTTTTGTTCTGCAATGTGAGAATTAGGTAAATTCAACTTTACATTTTAATTTAATCAAATTCCTCTCCCATCCCTATCTGATAGCAAGGGGCACCTGATCTGAGGGGACATTTGAGAAGAACAGCAGCAGAAAGAGTTAAACTGTTCCTCCACCCCACTTCCCTGTTGTACCAAAACTTTGCAAAAAGGGTGAAATGTCTCAATATTTTGCAAAGCAACCTAAGGCTCACTGCAAGGAAGAAGGATTCCCACCTCCCTTCTGTGACTTGCAGTGAGGTCAGTCCTGTGGTTTTCCAAACTAACCTAATTTAAGGAGGCACAGGCACCCGGTCCTGCCCCACTTTGTGGGTGCCTGGAGAGGGCCTGTGACGGCATGTGCGTGGCGCACATGTGACATCATGTGGGTAGAGGCCTGTTGCGGCCTCCAGAAGGCATAACAGGGTTCAACGGGGCCTGTTGTGGCCTCTGGAGGGCCCGATGGGGCCCACTGCGGCCACAGGAAGGCTCAATGGGGCCCATTGCAGCTTCAGGAAGACCTGAAGAGGCCCATCACCCCTGGAGTTGGCCACCCCTCTCATCAGCTGGGCAGCATGCCTGGCCGGGCTGGGCTTCCTCAGGGGTGCACTTGGCAAGCGCATAGGCTCTGCCACTGGGCATGACGACGTCGGGCCCAAATGCCCCCGGGGCAAAAAAATTGTGGGTGCCCTGTTCCTTCATGGGGAATGTTGTGGGGGCTGGAGCACCCACAGCACCACACACATGGCGCCTATGTAAGGAGGGAGAAGTCAAAGCTCCATATGTTTTCAGAGAAGTTTGCGTATGGAAAATCCCTTCACTTTCACTGAGCCTCAGAGAGATTTGCAACACACTGAAATCTTTCACTGTTTTGCAGATCCCTCGCAGTTCAGCGCAATACCAAGTCCCCACGCTCTCCAGTTTCAGCCTAAGGATGTAGAGAGAATTGATAACATGCATTGCTTGCATTTCATTGCAACAAGGAAGCAGAGAGAGGCAAAACCTGGGCTGTAATTATAATGGAGGAATGGACAGGAGTGCAAAGGGATCTACACCAGTTTGGATTGTCCTGGTCTTCCATTCTTTATATTTTCTCCGGGGGCAGAAAGGTGGAATAAATGAGCCTGGCAGCATCTGGACAGCACTAGGATGACAACCCACATTTGCTGAGCCCAAAAAGTAACTATTCCTAGACTGATTCTGGTCAAAAGATTCCTTGCTTTTTATTGCCTTTCTCGGTTTGTAGAAGGGATCAAATTGTTTTGCAATTAAAACACACACACACAGAGAGAGAGAGAGAGAGAGAGAGAGAGAGAGAGAGAGAGAGGAGAGGAGAGGAGAGGGAGAAGGATTAAAAACTGCCAGGAATAAAGGAAGAAGGAAAAATCCACCTTGGAGATCTTCAACCACTATGTTGTCTTCCTTCTCAGCAATTTGAGAAGCCATCCCCAGCAGCAGATCAGAAACATCCTTATCCGTTTTGATATTGGGATTCTGAACAGGATAGATAAAAAGACTCAGCACACAGCGTCAGCTCACCACAAAGCTACACCCATTGCCAGTTCTGAGCTAGGATTAGCAGCACAGCAGGGAAGCCGCCAGTTCAGATCTTTAGATCAGTAGCCTGGCCCACAGCTAATAGAGACCAACACAACCTTACTGAAAACATTATTTGGGTCCAGAGTTGCTACATGCCTTGCTGAGGTTACCTGCTTAACCCGTGATATAGGAAGCTGCCAGGCACCAAGGCAGACTGTTGGTCCACCTAGTTCAGTATTGTCTGCACCAGAGATGAGGGAATTGTGGTCCTGCGAATGCTGTTGGACTCCCATCAACCCTAGCCAACATGGACAGTTGTCAGGAATGATGGGAGTTGTGTCTATTAACCGCAGGAGGGCCACAGGTTCTCCATCCCTGGTCATTACCGGTTGGCAGTGACACTCCAAGGTTTTAGACAGGAGTCTCACCTCAACTTGGAGGTGCCAGGAATTAAACCTGGAACTTTCTGCATGCAGAGCATGTGTTCTACCAGTGACCAATGATGTATCTGTACCAACGACAGAAACCAATTTACACCATTGAGTGGTGTAACACGTGCCTTTGGTTAGAAATTTATGCTTAGTTGCAAGCCCCCTACCTCTCTGCTCCAATAACTGTTGCACAACCGGAGTACCGGGGAGCGGGTGCCATCTCTGTTAATCACTTCTCGGAAGTGACAACTTGAGTTCCTGAAAGAAAAGCAAAAGAAGTGAAACGATGCTCTAAGCAGGAAAGGAATGATATCCAAACCCATGAGCATAAGAGCCCCTCCAGGTATGTTGTGCAACATGTTATTGACACAGCTATAGTGCATCAGTGCAAACCGTACTGAAGGTAGTGTCACATGCAACTCCCCCAATAGCATGATGAGCTCAAAACATCGTGAATGCACAACAAAAGATGTTTGGAGGGGCCCTAGGGAAGCCAGAAGGGGAAGAGGGATAACCAAACAGGGCTCCATTGAACAGAGTGAGGAAGAGAACACAGCAGCCTTATCACACCAACATCTAAAGTGAGCCCTCTGTAAGACCATTAAGTTGAGTCTAAGATTACCTTACTGCACCAACAAAAGCAGATGGATGGGGGAACTTTTTAATAAGCACATGCTCGTTGCATTGCATTGCTTCTTAAGAGCTAAAAGGGTTTCGTGCTAAGTATAACAACCCTGTGAGGCAGGACAGCAAATCCTCTCCTTATTACCACAGTGTGAGTAGGTCAAGAGAGAACAGTAGTGAGAGGTTTGAACTAGGGCTGTCCAGGGTCACTCATGCTCCTTTCAAAGAGCGTTCAGCAATTGCAGTCTCTTCCAAACGTAGCAAGGCAGATTGCCATCCAGTAAATACTACTTGGAGCACATAACTCCAGCATCATTCCATCTGCATTGACTACCCATTTGTATATAGAATTCAGGGCTTTTTTCAGTGGCAGTTGCCTCCTATTTTCCAGCTGCCCATGCCAATACTTTTGCTGGCACCCATGACATTTTTATAAATATATGAGCTCTGGTACCTCATTTTTGGTATTAAAAGGTACAGTACTATTATTTTTATTTATTTATTTACCTTTGAAGGCCCCACATGACCTGGTAGCAGAATATCTCAAGGACCTCCACCTCTCATGCAAACCTATACATGCACTGACATCAATATCAGGGCTTACAATGTCCCTCCACTGTCAGAGATAAGGCAGGTGGTTAGGACATGAGAGGGCCTTGCAGATATAAAGCTGCCTTATACTGAGTCTATCTGGATCAGAGCCGTCTGTTATGATTGGCAGTGGTTCTCCGGAGTCTACTCAAATTAGTGGTGACTCTACAGAATCTCTCCCACCACCTGCTGCTAGATCCTTTGAGATGGAGGTGGTCAGGAACTGAACTTAGGACCTTGCGCATGTGAGATGTGTCTTCTGGCAAGGCTACCATTCTCCAGTTGACATGCATGGTCCAAGCCTCAGAGGTTTGCTCATCCAACTGATGTATCAGCCAATTCATAAGAAGGCTAGAAGTAAGGCAGATTCCTACCTCATGTACACGCCAGGAGGGACCATGGTGCCCAGAAAGAGTGCTGTAGTCACAACAAATTCAGGTGAGATCCTAGCATCCACATGTTGCTTGTAACCTGAAACAGAGATGATGGCTCTGAATAACAATACTCAATGAAGGGCAGGGATGGCAACTACAGCAGGATGAGGCCCCATTGCTGCACGGATGATCAGTCAAGTGCAAACACACTTTTTGGACAGAGTGTGCATGTTTGGTTAATGAAATCTATAGTTTATAGTGCAGAGGTATGCAGAATCCCCAAATACAATTCAGGCTCCGCCTCCACTATAGATTTAAGACACTGTTCTACCACTTTAAATGCTCATGACTTCCCCTCTAAGAATTGTAGCTCTGTGAGGTGGTCTTCTAACCATTCTCAGTCTTCTCAGAAGTAAAGCCCCACTGAGTTCAGTGAGATGCACTCCCAAGTCCTAGGTTAGCATGCATAGGATTGTAGCTTCAGATTCTCTCCCTAATTACAAAGATATTATTTGTCACTGGATTATTGTGGCCTAAACCACTGAGCCTCTTGGGCTTGCCGATCAGCAGTTCAAATCCCCGTGACGGGGTGAGCTCCTGTTGCTCTGTCCCAGCTCCTGCCAACCTAGCAGTTCGAAAGCACACCAGTGCAAGTAGATAAATAGGTACCGCTGTAGCGGGAAGATAAGCGGCATTTCCATGTGCTCTGGTTTCCGTCACAGTGTTCCATTGCGCCAGAAACAGTTTAGTCATGCTGGCCACATGACCGGAAAGCTGTCTGTGGACAAATGGCATATCCCTTAGCCTGAAAGCATGATGAGCACCACAACCCCATAGTCGCCTTTGACTGGACTTAACCATTAAGGGGTGCTTAACCTGTTTTGTACATGCAAGCAAGCCCTTCTTATATCTTTTATTATTCCTGATATTACAATTCCTTTCCTCAATATTTATTCATTAATCTACATACCCTATTATTCTAAACTGCACCCCACACAAAAGGGGATGTATTATTAATTTTAAAATGGAAATGTGTAACGTGAAAAATGAAGAAAAGGTGTTTATTAACATGCTTGCTTATTGATTGGATTGGATTGGATTTGGTTTGAGTTGTTAGCTCCTTGTTACCAAGGTCTCCAAGGGGAAAGTGATGGTTCAAAACAACAGCCAAAGTTTGAGTAAAGGTGAAAACTGAAAGGAATTGTGGTTTTAAATAACGGGAGAGGCTCGGGTAAACCTCTAGTGCATTTATATTTACTTAAACGCATATGCATGCCCCAAACCCTGCACACTAACAGCAGAACAAAATCAGCTCAGTCCACTGGCCCCCATTGAACGGTACCCACTTGCACATGCCATGATTCCTTCTCCTCACCTGTGTAAGGTTCAGCGGGGTCATTCCCAGCGAAGGCTGGCAGCCATTCGTAGAGCACAATGTTCTAGGGAAACAAGGAGGAAGAGGCAGCTGTGACACACAGGAAGTTGCTCAACGCCCAGTCAGACTATCTGCTGCGGTAGCTGGTGCCCACTGTGAGAAGTAGGGCAGAAGACAGGAAGACTAACAGGTGGAGCCAGAGGCAATGGCAGGAAGAACCACCCCCTGGTTGGTTGTAAATCAAAGGGCAGTCAGATGGGGATTGGGTGAGATTCATGGGACAGTACCCCTTTTGCCCTAAGGGACCACAATCCACTGATTGGTTACTTTATTTTCCCGTGTATAAGATGATGCTTTTTGCTTTTAAAAAATAGGCAAAAATTGGGTGTCGTCTTATACATGGATAGTGGATGCAGAGGGGGGACATGTGATTAATGGCAGCAGCAAGCAGGAGATGGGCAGTGGCAATTGGGCGGGTGATTGGTGGCTGCGGCAAGGCCTGCTGGTGATTGGCTGTGGTTGTGGCAATGGGGCAGGCAATTGGCGGCTGTGGTGAGGCAAGCAGGTGATTGGCAGCTACGGCAAGTGGGCGGGTGGGCTGTTGTTGGCGGCGAGTGGGCAGACAATTGGCGGCTGCGGCGTGGTGTGCAATCGGCAGTGGCAAGCGATTGGCAGTGGAGGGCAGTTGGGTGAGTGATTGGCGGAAGTGACCTCCCCCACCCTCCAAAAAAGCTAAACAACTTAATTTCTTAATTTTGGGTTAAAAAAAAGAGGGGGTCATCTTATACATCTTATACACGGAAAAATACAGTATCTACCCAGCCCTGGTCTGTTCAAGCCTTATTTATTTAGATCACTTGATGCTAAAATAGGCTTCCAATAACAGGCAGAGATCTTTCCTGGTATATGGGTCCTAGATCTTCGGGAAGGGTCAGGCTTTGCATGCAGAAGGTATCGGGTTCAATTCCAGGCACCTCCAGGTAGGGTTCAGGGTGAACAAAACTGAGTTAGCTGTACCAATAGTCTGGCATCATTCTTTCTTTAGAAAAAACAGGAACTTGGAGATGTGTGGACTCTTCCATAAAGCTTAATAGGCAGAGGTGTTGAGTGAGGAAAATGTATGGGATCTCAGCTCTAAGAGTTTTGTTTCTCCCCCCCCCCCCAAACCTGGAGTCATTTTTTCATCTGCCAGAGCATCAAAGTAATGGAGAGGCCCTCTTTGCTCTGGCCAAATGAATGAGGTGAAAACAAGGCTTTCAAGTTTTGCTATTGCTTTTGACATATGAGCATGAATTATGTCAGAGACTGAGACGAGCTTCCAATTCTATGACTAGCAGCTGATGGTCCATATATTATAAAATGGACCAATACAACTACCTGCATTTTTGTATTTTCCTTAGAGATCGGGAGGCTGCCATGTTAAGCTCTTATATTATACCATTTCCCACAACATCTCTCTACTTAGGAAGCTGCCATACGCCAATTTTTTCTAGTTCTCTGCTGAGCCTAGTTTTGTCTACCGTAATTGGCTTCTCTCTCTAGGGCAGGGTTGGAAAAGCTCAGGACAAAATGCAACCCTCCAGGCCTCTACCTGGCCCTTGGGACTCTCCCCAGGCCACACCCACCTCACAAGCCACACCCTCTTACCCACAGACCATACCCCACACTGCCCTTGCTTCACACCCTACTTGAGTGTTTTTGCCTGGCTGGAATGTGTCTTTAAACTCTGAGAATGCCTTTGCTTGTCTGGCTCAAGGTGTGTAGAAATTTGCTTACTGTATACAGGTAAAATCTGCATGCATTGCTCTACCTGCTTTTGGCTCCAGCCTTTACCCACAACTGCCATGTAGCCCCTGAAAGAAATGCAGCCCCCAGGCTGAAAAAAAGACTATCCACCTCTTCTCTAGGGTCTTAGGAAGAGAAAGTATTGTCCATCACCTGGAACCTGATTGTGTTATCTGGAGATGCCAGGAATCAAACCTGGGATCTCCAGCATATCAAACATGTGGCTTAGGGCCCTCGTATTTACGGGACCGCCTCTCCTGGTCTGCCCCGCAGAGGACCTTAAGGTCCATGAATAACCATAGTTGAGAGGTACCGGGCCCTAAGGAAGTCAGACTATCCTCCACCAGGGCCAGGGCCTTTTCAGTGTTGGCTCCGACCTGGTGGAATGCTCTGTCCCATGAGACTAGGGCCCTTCAGGATTTAACCTCCTTTTGCCGGGCCTGTAAGACAGAGCTATTCCGCCTGGCCTTCAATTTGAATTCAGTCTGATCTTTTATTTCCCTTCCCTTCCCTTCCCTCCCCCTCCCCTTTTATGAAGATTACCCACTCTGAGACCCCACAGCTAATTCTCCCCTGGCCTCCTCGCTGGCCCACGTAGGACCAATTCAGCCAGCTAGCCCTGGGGATTATCTAATTGATTTTTTATTTTTGAATTTTATTGTTATTCATGTTTTTATACTGTATTTTATGCTGCTTTTACAATTTTAAATTTGTTGTTAGCCACCCTGAGCCCGGTTTTTGAACCGGGAAGGGCAGGGTATAAATAAAAATTTATTATTATTATTATTATTAAACACATGCTGTGCCACTGAGCTATGGTCCCTTGCTTAGAGACAACGAGGAAACAAAACACAGTCTAGGGGTTTATGTGCCCAGAGAGGTTTGCTGGATGCCTCCCCCCCGCTCCCCGGCCACACACAGTCTTTCTTCCATGCCTCGCTCACCTGGTAAGTGGCAATAACCCGCTTGCGCACGTGCTGAAACACATCTTCATCAGACCAATCAGGGTGCTGTTGGGTAAGCTTTGCTGCCAGGACGTTGTGGTAGCGGAACCAGACAATGCCCATTGCTTGCAGGAACAGGTCTGCATTACCTTTGGCATTTCCAAAGTCTAGAAGAAGGGATTGGGTGGGGGGTAGAGAGAGAAAAAAGCCAATTCTAAGCTTCCAGATCCTAAGAACAGGTACAGATTTGCTGGTATGACCTCATGAGAGGAGCGTACCATCTCATAGTAAATATAGGAATGATGTCAAACAAACATCAGACACGGACATTTTATGACCCAGCCTTCTTTCAAATGGTTTATATCATATATCATTTGTTGTCACAGACGTATATTTCAAATGGGGGAAGGGGAGGACTTGGAGGAGGAAAGAACAAGCCCCTCTCTTGCCACTAGTATGCTATTAATTGACCCTTCTCAAACTGGTTTCTAAAAAAACAAGCAAATGTGCTATCAGACATCACTTACGGTATATACATTTGCCTTTGCAGATGATGTGCCATTTTGACCTTCAGAATTTGCCATGCTGGCACTTTCAAACTAGTGATTCGCCAATGCCCATTTAAAAGATACAGGACCCTAAGAGCTGTGCAACATTTTCTACCTGTCTGTGCACTGGGGCTCTTTGCTACTGACATTCTGGAACCCTTATAGGGAGGTGTTTAATGTTTAATGTTTTATTATGTTTTTATATATGCTGGAAGCCGCCCAGAGTGGCTGAGGCAAACTAGTCAGATGGGCAGGGTACAAATAATAATATAATAAGTGCTATTGTTCTAGAAAAGAGGTGCCAGAACTCTCCATGAACGCCTTCCTTGTTCTCTTATAATGGCAATTGCTCCCACCTGAGAGGTGCCAGAACTTTCTTTTATTCTGTGCAGAAAACTGTGGCTGAGGGCCTGAAGAGATGAACCCTCTCCCCTCCCTATTTCTGTTTTCTCACAGGCTCTCAACTTCAGACTGTATCCAAAATTACTCATTAGAGCAAACGGGGCTCTGGACCACCAACCTCCATCTGCTCTCATTGCCTCTGGCGCCCCCTACTGTTGTCCTCCTGGCCTTTCACCCTACCAGTCCCAAAGAGGCAACCTTCCTTACCATAGAGTCCCTGTGGTCCACTTTGTCCTGTGGACGGATCCAGAGCCTTCCACATTAAGCTGTTTGCCTTCGTCTGCCTTGGGAAACCATCTTCTCCAGAGAGCAGCTTCCCTCGTGAGAAACTTCTCAGAGAATCACTCCAGGAATGGGATGAGCCATAGATGGCACTCCCATCGAGCCATCCTGTCACCCCATTTAGCTGGTGAAAGAGGGGAGGGAGAGGGCGGGAGCAGGTGGGTTAGTTCCTTCTAAATCTTTGGCCAGGGGGCCATCAAGTATTCTCTACCGCAGAGGCACTGAAGAAAGCAGCTTTGTGCAGGGTGGTGAACGGACAGAAGAGTTAGCTTATCATACCCTTGCCAGAATGACTGTACTATAGATATACTGCCAGGTTATTCCATAGGCAATGAGTCAATGGAGTCAAAAGGGGATGAAAGATCCTCAAATGCAACCTTTTTTAAAAAAAAATTTTTTTGGATGGACTGCTTAATAAAATTTTAAATAAGCTAATTCAAGCAAACGGGGAAAAGGTCACAGCTCAGTGGTGAACATCCGCTTTGCATGCATAAGATCCCTGGTTCCATCCCGGCATTTATCCATTCTTACGTTCAGTACTCCAAATTTCCATATCAATTTGCGTCGGTCCTTGTGAACACACACCAGCAATTTAGAGTGAATTTCTCCTAATGCAACCGTTTGCATGCAATTTTGCCTGACATACACATTTTTGGAGAGCAATTTACCCTGATATAATGCATTTGTGCATGGTGTTATCATATGGGTTTTTATTCACACTTTACCCCCCCCCAATGTGTCTCTGCTTTCCTTTGAACTACATCAGTGAGGCCTAGAGCAGGTGGGGTTGCGTCTGGGCAGCGCAGAATCTCCATACACACTGCTCAGGCTTGTGCCTCGGGGAAGTCATTCGGTGCTGCTAACACAGCGGTTTGACTTTACTCCCTGGAGGTGCACTTCATTGTCTCTCAAGACAGATGGTTGCCAACCAACCATCGCCCCCATACAGACATTTCTGAACACATTATTTAGCTGGGGAGCTGCAAAATTTGGATGAGGGCAAATTTTGAAGGATGGCTGGAATTTCGGTTCTCACGTAGTTTAGGAAAGGAAGGCAGGTTCACCTTTGAATGTGGACTAAACTTAATTTCTCCCCCATCCTTCCTCACTAGCACTGCTGATAGCCTTTCAAACAGAGGACTGCTCTCTGCAAAAAAGGACATATTAAACCCATCCCCTAATTTGCCCATTCTGTTTATTCATTTTAGTACATTTCCCTTTTCAAAGGCATACTGTTTTATTTTTAAAACGTCCCGGGCAGAAAACTGAGCAAACCATTGCAGAGCATTCCATTCTGCATCTAGACACCACCCTTAGCGACTGAATCTGACTGCTTTCCCAGCAATGCTGCCACTACATGAATCCTCTGATACACGCCCTATATTTGCCCTTTTCCCCTGCAAAATGTACTGTGCAAACACGTGCAAAGGGATATACACTGATTTGCAGCCAGCTGGGTTTTACCTGCTCCCGGGGCCTGTTGGGGCTTTTTCCTGTACCTGGAGCCCACTGCATTCGCTGGAATGGCAGGACAACATCACCTGAGCCAGCAGGGTCAAACACAGGATCTCCTTCAGGGATCTGTATGTTTAGGAACTCGGCAGGGCAGCCGGGCTTGTCGGCTTCCAGAATCTCCGAGAGCACATGGAAACCTGGCAGACACCAAAAGGGACAGAACTAGCAGAGGGTGGATGAAACATGACATCTAGTGAACCATGACACCTACGAAATTCAATTCCGTGAACTCACAGGGCCTGAAACCACACTCCACGAAAAGCCTGCTGCAACTTCTCTTCAGAGTGTTGCATCTAGAGAAGCGTCAATATTTGCCAGTTTCAACACTTGCTGACCTGATCTGCACCTCTCAGAGTAAGCTGCACCGGAGTGTGCTGTTCCCCAAATGTGCCAATGTAGTTCTCCCCTACTAACCTCAAAAAAGTATCAAAATATATTTTAGAATGCATATTTGGATAGAAAGCATGTTCCTGAAAGACCTACATTGGTTCCCAGTACGTTTCCAAGCACAATTCAAAGTGTTGGTACTGACCTTTAAAGCCCTAAACTGCCTTGGTCCTGTATATCTGAAGGAGCATCTCCACCCCCATCATTCAGCCTGGACAGTGAGGTCCAGTTCTGAGGGCCTTCTGGTGGTTCCCTCCCTGCAAGAAGTGAGGTTAAAGGGAACCAGGCAGAGGGCCTTCTTGGTAGTGGTGCCCGCCCTGTGGAACACCCTCCCATCAGATGTCAAGGAAATAAACAACTATCTGACTTCTAGAAGTCACCTGGAGTCAACCCTGTATTGGGAAAATTTTAATGTCTAATGTTTTACAATTTTTTATGTAACCACCCAGAGTGGCTGGGGAAATCCAGCCAGATGTGTGAGGTATAAATAATAATAAAATCATCATCATCATCCTGTCCTTCTTGCCTCAGGCAGCAAAAAGTCTTGAGCCAGCCCTGCTCACAGTGTGTAATCCAGCCACATGCCATCATATCTCATTGCCTCCTGAGAAATCTCATCTCCTCAGACAATGATTCCATAGACTATCCAATAAGTAACAAGGGATACTATTCTGTGGATCAATAATGTGTGCATAAACTTTTTGAGTCTCTTTTAAGCCCAGTTTTTAAGGCTTGGCAATTTCCCCCAAATGGGAGCAGACAGAAAGTACTACAAACCCTGGAAAGAGCTCTCAGCCAGTGCCAATTATGAAGGAAATAACTGGCGGCGGCAGCAACAACGACTACTACCACTACAATAATAATAATAATAATAATATAACAAATTTGACAAAGGAAAATGGAAGAAAGTAAAAGAAAACAACAACCTAGGGATGTTTAATATCAATATAACCTATCCAACTGTCCAAAGAGGTGTCCACACAAAAGAGATGCTTATAAGAAATGTGTTCAAATGTGGTAAGAACATGTTAAATTATTATTAATTATGACTAATGTTGTTATTACAAACTAGGTTTCTTATCCACCTTTCACAATAAGTGAAGTGACAGCAATTTAAAAATACAATATTAAAATTGGTTTAAAACAAATTAGTCAAAAGAATAGGGTGGGTCCTAGGATATATATGTCAGAAATGTCAAAAGCCCAGATAAATAGGTGTTTCTCTTCAGCGCATGACAGGAACTACATAAAAGGAAGGTAACAACACCACTCTGAGGAGATGGAATTCTACAACTTAGGGGTTTGCCGGAAAGAATGCTTTCTCCTGGGTTCCCACCCCCCTGAACCGCTAAGGGGCTCAGAAGTGCCAAAGAACCCATTTCCTCTTCGTCCTACTCTCTCATCATGGCTTCTGAGAAATCCGCAGTCTTGTTTGAACATATTCCAAGGGATTAAGCTCCAAGCATTACTCAGCCTTCAGCAGAAATGCCTAGCAACATCCAGGCTCCCAAACATGCCCGGATCACACTGGCAAAAGCTAACCCAGGGGGAAGTAGGTTTAAGTGACCAAATAATTCTGAGGTTTGGAGCAGAAATCCGCAAGGAGGGGCAAATGTGACCATTGCTAAAATAAGACATAAAACCAGTCATGCAAGAGCCTAGTAATCCTCTTGGAGGTAATCCTATGATCTAAGGGTTTGAGCCAGAGGAAGAGAAAAAGGGGCACACTGTGGTTTGAATTACAGTCTCTGTGTTGCTGTCACAAGGCCTGGAAACCTTGGCAAATCCCTCACCCCCAATACTATAATTCTGTGACCAGAACCTCCCCAAATCCCGTAATTGAAAGAATTAGGCACATTACTCCATTAGTTACAGGCATCGATTTGAGGCCTGATTTGTGGTAGAAAGTGTGCCTTGACTATATCAAGCGCCTCGTTTCTCCAAGATGTCAGTGTCGTGAAAAGCAGAGTAGGCCAGCCTTTCCCAACTAGATGCCTTCCAGGTGCCTTGAACTACATATCCCATCAGCTCCAGCCACTATGCTGCATGGGGCTGATGGGAGTTATAGTCCAAAACATCTGGAGGGCATAAGGTTGGTAAATGTCTGGAGCAGACACTGCTGGAGGTGGTGACGGAATTTGGGGGCAGTTGTGAAATCAGGAACCCATTTTGTTTTTTCCATGATTGAAAGGTGCTCTATGTTGGAGAGGGGCCAAACCAGATAAATCAGTCCTGTTCCCTATAATGATGCCAAATCCTTCTTAAGACTTTTGCTGGAGATTTGCTGAAGGGGCCAAAACGTTTATTTACTGCATCTTATACCATCCCGGCAGTTTGAGCTTTATGATTGCTGTTTAGAATCTTAAGAAACATGGCACAAGAGGAGGAGGAAGAAAGAAGACACGCACAAACTCAGGAACCCACTCTTGGAAGCCTCTACATCAATGGTCATGCAAGCAGCAAAACTGGGTGGGGTTAGGGTTAGCTTTGCAGGTTTGATCCCCATATCGGACAGATGTATTCCTGCATTATATAATAATAATTTACTATTTATACCCCGCCCAACTAGTTGCATTTCCCCAGCCACTCTGGGCTGCTCCCAATCGAATATTAAAAACACAATACAGCATTAAACGTTAAAAACTTCCCTAAACAGGGCTGCCTTCAGATGTCTTTAAAAAGTAGGATAGTTGTTTATTTCCTTGACATCTGATGGGAGGGCGTTTCACAGGTCGGGTGCCACTACCGAAAAGGCCCTCTGCCTGGTTCCCTGTAACCTCACTTCTCGCAGGGAGGGAACCACCAGAAGGCCCTTGGAGCTGGACCTCTGAATGATGGTGGTGGAGACGCTCCTTCAGGTATACAGGACCAAGGCCATTGTAGGGCGAGTTGCACTCAATTGGAAGAGTCCCTTCCAACTGTACAATTCTAGGATTCTGTGATATCAGGGAGGAGCCAAATGGTCATTGGACACATGGAGGGAGCCTTCCTGCCTCACCCCTCCCTCAGACGCAGCCCAGTGGCATGGATGCTGATGGAGGCCATCACTCAAGAGTTCTCAGCTTACCAAAGACGACGCCCAGCACAGTTCTGTTCTTCTGAGAGGGTGATCCAGAGTCCCCTCGTGCCACCACATGGCTGAGTCTTCGTGCACTGGGGACATTTGGTTCCTGGGGGGCCTGGTACACGCCGTCCGCATAGCTCGCAGGAAGGAGCCGCGACAACCACGATCCTAGTGGTGATAAATCAGCATGTCAGCTTGAGGTAGCCAGCCACGGGCAAGACTTAATTTTTGCAAATTTCTTCAGTGAAGGGGTCTTAAAAATATGTCTCTGAGGGTGAGGAATCTGCAGTTATCTTTGTGACTGGAGAACATTTAGCTTGGTAAGTCTACGTTAGATGAAGAAGCTCATACACTGCTTTCGGAAAACTGAAGAATTTAAATTTTACCTTCTGAAAACGTCAGTAATGCTAAATAATATTAATAATAATAAATAATTATAATATAACTGCAAGTACTTGGGGCAAAGCATTTCTAAGTATTTCTATGGAATTTCCAGACATTTTACTTACCAAGCATAACTAAATTATATTAATTTGACCAAAATATATTTTGAATTCCCCAAGTGATGTTAGACCCTTTTAGCACCCGCCATTTTTGGAAGCTAAAAGCTGAAAAATTCAACACACCCTATTGAGGTCATGTGGCCAGCATGACTAAGCCGCTTCTGGCGAACCAGAGCAGCGCATGGAAACGCCATTTACCTTCCCGCTGGAGCGGTACCTATTTATCTACTTGCACTTTGATGTGCTTTTGAACTGCTAGGTTGGCAGGAGCTGGGACTGAGCAACGGGAGCTCACCCCGTCGTGGGGATTTGAACCACCGACCTTCTGATCGGCAAGCCTTAGGCTCTGCTCTGTGGTTTAACCCACAGCGCCACCCGAGTCCCTAGGGTGTGTCTTAGGTGCTGTGCAAAGTATGTCCTGAGAAACAAGGAAGGAGATGGACGGCTGGACCCTTTGTGAAAGTGAAGCCACAACTGAGACTGGGATTCTGCTCCTTTAAGACATGCTTGGATGCAGTGGTGAGCCTGCTGTGGAAGCAGGCTCCCCAAGCTCTGATGCACATATGTGCTGCTGTAAACAGCTGGGAGGAAAAAAGTTGTGAAATGCACAAGGTGGAGGAACACAACTTCCCTGCTCTTTAAGGCAGCATTGTGAACCCTAACTCAGGGATTGCCTGGGCTCTTATATATCCCACTTCAACCCATTGCATGCATGGCTGTTTCCAGTCCACCCAAAACAACGCTGTTTGACTCGCTGTTTGCTGTAGCCAAATTTAATGATATGATTAATTCTGTTATTGACGTGCGGCTATTCCACACCATTTATTTCAACAGGAGTGTGGTGGAAACGTCATCAATAAGCGTGGTGCCGGTGGAGGGGGGAAAGTGTGAATTTAGGACTGTGAGGAGGAATGAAAAAGAGAATGCCGATCGCCTGCCTGATTTTCCATTCGTCTGCAGAAAGACGTGTGAACCAGCATAATACCATTTTGCAGAATTTGCCAATATTCCCCGTACACATGGACCCAATGCTTGGCATCAGAAATGGCATTTGCAAAAGCATTGGAGGCCTGAAAACCTCAGGGATGCTCTCACCTGCTGAGTTGTGCCTGTGGTACATGAGGTTGTTGTACCAGCCGTCATAACGCTGAATTTCCCAGTGGATATTCTTTTGGGCGCCTGAGAGTAAACCACACATGAAGGAAATGAAGTTATTGGAAGCAGAGATGGTTTTTCATGAAAAATCAGGGCCGATTAGGGTGTCAGCATGTTGGAAGATGCTCAAATTTTCGTATGTGGTGAACTGGCAATGTGTCTTCATGGTGGCCATACCTGGCAGGACTCTGTAACAGCCCCCTCTGGTTCAAAGATATGTATGATAACCATGGGAGAAGCTATGGAACTGGGATTTGAAGTTTACAGCATGTTATACATTGAAAGAAAATGATGTATCGTTGGTATTTAAGTCCTAGTAAACTAGCTAAAATGTACAAAACCAGGTCAAATACATGCTGGAAATGTAAGGAAAAAGAAGGCAACTTTTATCATATGTGGTGGACATGTAAGGTAGTACAAGAATTCTGGGAGATGACATATAATGAACTGAAAAATATGTTCAAAATAACCTTTTCTTAAAAACCCGAAGGAATTCTAGGTGCCAAAATTCCAATGGATCAGAAAATACTATTTATGTATGCGACCACTGCTGCTCGGATGTTACCAGCCCACAGATGGAAAGAAGACATTGTCCCTACCACAGAAGAATGGCAGATTAAGTTGATGGACTATGCCGAATTGGCAAAAATAGAATAAGAAATCAGGAAGACCAAAATTTTAATAAGGAATGGGGAAAATATATAATTTACCTTACAAAACATTGTAAACAATTAAAATTATTAGTAGGATTGGAATGACACTTGTAGTCTAATGTTGAATTTTGGGTATGATAGAGATTTAAAAGATTTGGATTAATAGACAAGCTGCAGTAGGAAAAGGTTAATATAAGGACCCACAAAGGGGGAAGTCCAGGAGATTCTTTGGAATTCTCTTTTTATGTTGGTTGTGTGATAACTGTACATTTTTAAAATCTGAAAAACTAAATACTTTTTTTAAAAAAGAAGAGAAAATATATGAATGGCTTAACTAAGCTCACCATACATTTAAACTACTTTTATGCTACTATAGTAAAGGTAAAAGGACCCCTGACCATTAGGTCCAGTCATGGCCGACTCTGGGGTTGCGGCGCTCATCTCACTTTACTAGCCGAGGGAGCCGGTGTACAGCTTCTAGGTCATGTGGGCAGCATGACTAAGCCGCTTCTGGCGAACCAGAGCAGCGCACAGAAACGCCGTTTACCTTCCCGCCGGAGTGGTACCTATTTATCTACTTGCACTTTGACGAGCTTTCGAACTGCTAGGTTGGCAGGAGCAGGGACCGAACAGGAGCTCACCCCGTCGCGGGGATTCGAACCGCCGACCTTCTGATCGGCAAGTCCTAGGCTCTGTAGTTTAACCCACAGCACCACCCGCATCCCATAGGGCTGCTGGATTAGTTTGGTGATCCATGTGGTTCAGCATCCTGTTCTCACAGTGACTAACCAGATGTCCATGGGACATGGCACCATCTCCTCCTGTGGTTTCCAGCAGCTGGTTTTCAGAAGCATTCTAGAACATAGCCTTCTCCTCCATGAACTGGCCTAGGCTGTTGGTGACCATCATTGCCAATTGTGGGAGTCAATGCCATAGCTTAACTATATTATGCCATGTGAAGAAGTCCTTTCTTTTGCCTCTGCTGAGCCTTCCAGCATTCTGCTTCACTGGATATCACATAGATTCTCATATGATGAAAGAGGGAGTAAAACTTATCTATTGGCTCTCTCTTCACCATGCATAATTTTAAAGACTTCTATCATGTCACTTCTAACTTGCCATTCCTCTCTAAACTGAAAAGCCCAAAATGTTGTAAGCTTTTCTCATGGGGTTAGAATCATGACTTCCCAAGAATTCTGGGAACTGTACTTTGTTAATGATCTCCTTACAACTTTTGGCATACCTGACATGCTCCATTTCCCAGGATTCTTTGGGGGAAGCCATGACTCTTAAGTGCACATCTTATATTCCAGTGGAATGGAAATCATTTGATAGCTATGGGCACCTGTTAATGACCAAGAAAATGGAAGACTTGGCCACATTGTCTGTTTGAGAAAGCACCAAAAACAAGATCACTGTTTGGATCTAGTCTGCAGCAAAGTCTACATGGAACCACAAGACTCACAATACCATCCTAACAAGAGTTAGTAAAAAGGTAAAGCTAAAAGACCCCTGACAGTTAAGTTGTCGTGAACGACTCTGGGGTTCTGGCGCTCATCTCGCTTTACTGGCCGAGGGAGCCGGCGTTTGTCCACAGTCAGTTTTTCTGAGTCATGTGGCCACCATGACTAAGCCACTACTGGCGAAACCAGAGCAACACATGGAAACACTGTTTACCTTTCCTCCAGAGCGGTACCTATTTATCTACTTGCACTTTAATGTGCTTTCAAACTGCTAGGTGGGCAGGAGCAGGGACCCAGCAACAGGAGCTCACCCCGTCATGGGGATTCGAACCGCCGACCTTCCAATCGGCAAGCCCTAGGCTCAGTGGTTTAGACCACAGCGCCACCCGCGTTACTCTAACAAGAGTTATACCCTGTGAAATCAACAAAAAACCCTAAGCAGTTTCCATAAAACAATGTGAAATACACTTAAGAAAATATAGATAAAATCAAACATTAAAAACAAGTAGACATGAAATGCCTCACAATAGAGACAAATTTCTGAAACAAAATAGACATAATAAAATTGCACGTCTGGGTAGGCTTGCCTCAAACAAAAAAAGTTTTTATCAGTCAAGTAACAGCTCTAAGAGGAAATCCATTTTAGGAAAACCAATTGTTAACTGGACAGGGAAAAGTTGGACAGACTTACCAGTCGAGTGCCATAAACTTGCCAGGACAAACCAAAGCAAAATAAAAGTTTTAGTTCCCGTCATGAGATCAGTCCACATTTCTTTGCGGGACTTTTTCCCTGAAAGACACACACAAAAAAAAGTAGTTGCATCTTACAGTCCTGGGAAGCCTGAAAACACATATTTCCATTTTGTGGTGCAGCGGTTAAAGCGTTGGACTAGGACCTTGGAGACCAGGGTTCAAATTCCCACTTAGCCCTGAAGCTCATTGGGAGCCCTGCCTCTAGGCTAACCTACCTCACAGGGCTGTTGTGGGGACTAAACAAGGAGAGGGAAAACCTTTAGTTCCTTATAGAAAAAAGTGGGATATAAATGCAACATATAAACATATAAAATGACTCAGGTGGAACCTCATCAGGGGATGGCTTGGTAGTATTGCCCGCCCACAAAGTGAGCGGTGGTTCCCTCTGGAAACAAACGATGCCAGAGACAGAGACATTAATTTTAGATCTAGACATTTCAACTAAGCCCTTTTCTTTTCAGACTGATTTTTGCACTGGTCCCCTGCAATGCAGGTACATTGCAAATACCTAAAATCTGCCCCTCAGAAGGAAACCAATTCCTTTTGCTGGTTTAAATTCAGAAAAATTCTATAAAACTTCTAATTTGCACATTTATTTGGGTGGAACCATCAGTACTTGTTGAAGAATTTGGAATATTTTGGCAATAATTGTTGGGAAGAAAGGAAGCATGGGTCATTCAAGTTGGGCAACGGAAGCCAAATGCTATGGGGGTGGAAAGATAAGCCCCACACTTGGACTTGGACCACTGCTCCCGTTAACAAACACTAACCATGCAATTCCACTTTTACTTCCTGCAACCATGAGGGCTGGTTACCTTAAACCTGGGTTCTTACCCATGCAAAGCACATGCTCTGATATGTTTTTTCACACCCAGTACATATTACACATGTTCAAGTACTAACCATTTTTAATTGTGTTATTAAAAAAAGCACCATCAAGAAAGTAGCAAAGACGGAGTGCAGATACTCTTAAACGTGCCTGGAAAATTTGCATCTTTCCCATACCTATATGCAGCAGAAACGATGCAAATTTAAGATCTCTTTTGAAAGGATCCTAAGCCAATATCTAATGCAGCCAATGCAAGTATGCCTCTACAAATAATTATACACAGGAGATTTCCTCCTATAATTAACCATGAATACGAATGAGAGCAGATGTGACTGCTACCACACAGTGTGGTGAGCCTAACACTTCTTGTGGGTGCAATTATCTGCAATCATGAATTTGTGCCCACAAAGTTTTTGAGAATGCTTTAGAGTTCCACTTGGGGGAGGGGGAGATGATATGTCTAGAAGTAGTCTGATCCTTCTCTTCACAGACTGTTAAAAAAAAGGGGGTTTTGGGGGGCTGGGGGAGGCAGAGCAATTCAAGAGTTTTTGAATAGAGCTGCCATAGAAGAAAGGAGATGTAGCCAGTATGGTTTGTTTTTATTACAAAAAACAGAACACCGCAAGTTTTGTGTTTTGTTATTTACAAGATTTGCTTTTCGTCCCCCATTTAAAAAAAAATCAAAGAGCTACATGAACACTTCAGCTGGAGTGGCATCATGGTTGAATGCTGTTTCAGCTTGAGAGCCCCTGCAACTTTCAAAAGTCCTCTTTAAGAAGTTATCAAAATGAGGCGGGGTGTGTGTCAGAGAAATGAGACAGTGCGTCACTTTATTATTATATGGGCATGAGAGTGCCTATATTGGAGTAGCTACTAAGTGGGTTAAACCACAGAGCCTAGGGCTTGCAGATCAGAAAGTCGGCGGTTTGAATCCCTGCGACGGGGTGAGCTCCCGTTGCTCGGTCCCTGCTCCTGCCAACCTAGCAGTTCAAAAGCATGTCAAAGTGCAAGTAGATAAATAGGTACCACTCTGGTGGAAAGGTAAACAGCATTTCCGTGCGCTGTTCTGGTTCGCCAGAAGCATCTTCATCATGCTGGCCACATGACCTGGAAGCTGTACACCAGCTAAAGCGAGATGAGCGCCACAACCCCAGAATCATCTGCGACTGGACCTAACGATCAGGGGTCCCTTTACCTTTACCTTTAAGCCCCAGCCCAGAGGCCAGATCAAGCCCCACCTTTGGTTGCTAGAACAGCAAAATCACAGTTTAAAAACTGAAACAGACATAACCTTGGGGCTCTGTCAAGCTCAGCATCCTTAACAGAATGTAATATGTCCCCTCCCTGATAATCAGACTGATCATTGGATGAGTAGAAATTTCCCATTTTTAAACCTAGACCCCCTGTACAGATGGGCAAAAAAGTCAACCCATTTCACTTGTAAAGGCCAAACCTATTTAATTCATACTTTCCAAAAACAATGTGAGAATCCAAAGCACAGCTGCCCTTTGAAATTCGCAGTTTCCTGACCAGCTCTTGTGGTAAACAGAGGTTTAGCTCCACCTGGAGACAGTTTTTCATAATAGCAGCCTTGAATAGCCCTGGGATCTCTGGCAATATAAAAGTAGAGACTCTGTATAACTTCCAATAAACCGCATTATCCTGCCATCAATGTGTTATGCCTTATGGGATCTGCAATAAGGCACCTAGGGGTGCACAGGTGCTCACAAAGGCTTTCACTCTCCTTCCGCGGAGGTTTTAAAGCAGGGGTTGGATGGCCATCTGTCATGGATGCTTTCGTTGAGATTACTGTATTGCGTGGGGTTGGAATAGATGACCCACGGGTCCCTTCCCGCCCTGATTCTATGACTTAACTGGGTTGCTGAGTGATGAGTCAGGTGGTTGGAAAGAAGAGGGTGGGAGAAAGATATAGGGGTGGTGGATGGAGGGAATGCAGAATGGAGAAAAACCAGTCTCTCTCAAGCAGGAAGGAGGAGAGAGAGAGATGAAAATCTGGGGCTTTCCCATATCCATTCTGCAAAAGGGAAGTGCAGGTTATTTGCAGTCTATTGCAGCAATATTTGCAGGGTTGGGGTGGAAGGGATGCTGAGATTTACTGGTCAAGTTTAGAAGCCTTGGGCAATCATCTCCTTGCCAATTTCAAGGTCCAAACTACAAGGAAACAGGCGATAATATTTACTTACACAGGTACACAGCTCGGTATCTTAACCGATGAGGAAGAGCTGTGACAGTAAAAGGAGTGGGAGCTGATAGAGGCACTATGACACCAGTCCTAACACTGTCTCAAAAATAAGGAGGAGATAAAAGTCCAGAAAAGTTACTAGCCCACAAATGCAATCCAGAATTGTCACTAGCCCAGAGACTAGCCAACTTGCCCAAAGGTACTTTCCAGTATACAAAGTTTGTGAGAATTCCCCCAAGTTAGCTAGAAAGCAGTGATTTGCCCCATTCATTCACAAGGTCTATAAAAAGTTTTTTTCCTAATTATACTGCAAGTGAAACTCACCAGTCATTATTACCTTTCTCAAAGGGATGCTCCTAGACGTACTTTTTGCATGCCATTAAATCAGTGGGGTGGGTAACCCAAGTATGGCTCAGCACCACTGCAGCATATGCCTTGTAGTGGCTTTCCCCCTCTTGTCTTAGAAGAGATGCCAGCAGAAGCACATTGTGGGAGGGCAAGTTTGATATTATGCCACAGCCAGGCCAATGGGAAGACTCCTGGACCCAACATTCCTATGCCACTAGTGGTTCCCATGCCATAAGGCTGGCAGCAAATGAACAACACGAATAGTTGAAGGTGCACTGCTGTCATAGAGACATCAGCCCTTAGTTGTTCTGCACAGGAGTGGGGAACCTCTGACCGCCCACCTCCCATGTTGTTGAATTACAAGTCCCATCAGCCCTAGCAAGCATGGCCAATGGGCAGGGATGATGGGAGTTGTAGTTCAGCAACACTGGGTGTACCACAGGTTCCCCCACACCTCCTCGGCACCCAAATGGCCACCCCACAAGGGCTTTGATCTGGGGTTCCTTTCAGCTGCTTTTAAATTTTCAAAGGGCTGCTCAGCCAAAAGGCTTGACGATTGCTTCCCATTTCTGTAGTGCAGGGATGGGTGAACTTGTGGTTTTCCATATATTGTTGGACCACAACTCCTGCCAGCCCCAGCCAGTGTGGCAAATGGGCACAGAGGACAGAAGTTAGGAATCCATCCTTACTACTACTACTACTACAACTAATAATAATAATAATTTATTCATACCCCGCCCATCTAGCTGGGTTTTCCCCCGTCACTCTGGGCGGCTGCCAACAGATTAAAAACAGAATAAAACATCACACATTAAAAACTTCCCTAAAAACTTCTACTGTCTTCTCTGGGAACCCAGTTAGCTGGTCAACTTCAAAACTGCAACATGAATGCCTGCACTTTCTAGATTTGCATCTGTGTGCTTTCTTTTGCAAGACAAACCGATTTCTGCCCTGCTCCAGTGAATACTGCAGCATATGAACGGTTCTGCTTTTTCTAGCATCCTTGGCCACTCTAACTTTTCCACTCCGCCAGTAAGGATGCTTCAGCCACCCCTTATGTCTCCTTTTGTTTGGCTTCCTAGACTTCTTCTGACCCTGGTCCTTGGGTCCAAATGTGGCCCTCCAGGCCCCTCTGCTTGGTCACCAGGACTCTTCCAAGCCACATCCTCTCTCCACAGGCCACATCCATTCTCTCGGGCCCTGTTTTGTCCTCTTCTCAGGCACGTTTTTTGTTTTTTGTCTGCCTGGAATGTGTCCTTGCTTTCAGGCAAGGTTTCTTGCTTGGCTGGATGGAGAATGGAGAACAGTGTGTGACAGTGCGGAGAAACAAGCCATTTATACAAAGGTAAAGTTTATATTAATTACTCTAACCACTTTCGTCTGTGGCCCCCAGGAAGTTCCCCAGAAAATAATGTGGCCCTCAGGCTCTGGGCAAATATATTGTCACTGGGACTATATTATGTTTTTGGCTGCCAGAGTCAGTAAATGTCCTGGCATCTATCCACCTTGCATTTATTTAACTCTTAAAAATGGGGTTATATTTATGCTCAAAGTAAGAGGAACCTCAAACAAAATATTACGGCATAGACTGCTCCTGTTCAGGATTCCAGCCAGCCAGCCATGCCCTCTTGCAAAGT